GGACGAGGGGGGGGGGGGGGGGCGACGTCAACTTAATCCTAGGATAAAGGATTCAGACTTACATCTAATTATGTATGAAGCATCTTCCTAAGGTAGAGAGTGTATACTTCAATCGTACCGGTTTTCGTTTTCTCTAGTATTCTTTTTTTTTCTTCATTAGAACATATGGGACCCGGGGTGCCTTCATGTATATTGGATGTATTACGTCTTCATAGTTAAAGTAGCTATAGTACTTTCTGAACTCCAAATAATGTTTTTCTTTGTTTTTCCTATGTTAGAAAATCTTCCTGAAGAAGTATTTTTTGCCCACTAACCATTCAGCATCTCTTGGATGTCTAATCAATGAAGTATTCAGGCATACTCTTCTCATTAACAGATATCGCAATCCTACATATCCTTTGCTACTTCAAAGCACCGACAATTTTTCATGTAAGCAGACTGAATTTATAAATCTTAATAATATCTTTGCTCTTTGATGTCTTAATTCTAAGATGGTATCGTATCAGGTATTTTGTACTTTCATTCGCCTTCTCTTTTCTTTTTCCATAGATCAGCAAGAAGCTAGTCTATCCCACGGAAGAATTCTCTTTTCATGGTCTTACGAATAAAGGAAATGTTGAGTACCTGTCTGAATCTAGAGTATCTGTGCCCAGTGTAAGGATGTTGTCAATCATATATAACGGAAGCAGGTTTTTTTTCGCATGGTGATATGAAACGTTCGTTAAGCAGCATACCCAAGATAAAGAAATAGTATTTGCGGATCATACGAGCAGCCATACTTCAGAGTAGCATGCCGATAATTCAGAAAGGCAGATATTTTGCACACTGAGCCTATAGGTCCCATCGGTTTTTTTTTTATATCAATCATTGAGCATTCAGCCAACTCGTAGCAATGATTTTTCAATAGATATAAAGTTGTATATATGTGCATGGTATATATATCCAGCTTTGTGCGATGTTTTGAAAAAGCTGATTTGCTGATTACGTTATTCTGAAATTTTTTGAAAAGTATGGTGTGACGGTTAGTACAGTTCTAGGACTCAACCCACCCCCCAACCCAACCCAAAATCTTTTGATTTATTCAAACCCGTTTGCACATCGTTATAAAAACTTTACAGCGATACACATAATATAGTCATAAGAAAATTGTGCGGTTGGTTAACATACAGTTTCCATATACAATACAGAAGAGAAAAGAATAAAGTGGAAGATATACAATTACCCAAGCGTAGTATACATACAAGAAACCTCTCAAAGACACAAAGTTCAGAGTAATTATATGGCAAAAGCTACTATATAAAAATGCGAATTAAAATAAGGGCTGTATGAATTATTGTACAATGTTTAAAAGGAGGGCGTATCGTTACTGTTCAAGTTCAGGTTTATCACTCACCGATAATATCAGCCTATGAAAATTTAAAGCCACTTCTACTAAAAATTCTTAGCGTCTCCAATACAGTTAGGTTGCTTCTTGCATTATGGAAGGGAATTTTGATGTCATTCTGGTTATCGAACACAATGCTTGCTGTGCCATTTTTATCCTTGAAAGCTTGTCAGTCGGCTTCTTCAACGCTCTACTCTAATTTTTTCCATACATTGACGCAACGAACTCACATATTTGTCACATTAAACCCAAGCGAAACTTAGCGTCGCTGGGTGCATCAGAATAATGACTTATTTTGCAGAGCAATTAAAAAAAATGAAAACAAAATTCATTCCTTGCACAATTCTCGTTACCGCACTACACAACGAACTCTATATACATTATTTCTAGAGAACTTTTAACAGAAAACAAACTTTGCCACATTTATACAACTGCATGAAAACTTTCTTTGAACAAATTCAACCGCACAAATCACAACTCGTCATCACCCACACTGAAATCTCAGAACTTCGTTACTTCATTCTTTCATTTCTAATCTTTTTCTCTTCTTCTTTTGTGACATTTATCTCTTCCAATGACGCAAAATACATAATAGTTTTTCTTACTACATGGATAAAATCGTCTTCCAATGAAAGTGACTTTTCTAAATAATTTCTAGAATTGTGCACAGCAGCAAAAAGCGTAAATGCAGGTTCATCTCACATAAATTTAGTAAAATAAAAGGGATCTTATCTCGATTAAGAATGAGCTCTCCTTCAATAGTAAAGACTGCCGAACAAGAGAGTCTCTAAATTTTATAGTTGAAGAACACAGCACACGCACTCTGAACCAGTCAGCAAGATTCTTTCTCATCATTGCATTTAGCTACAGGGCTACCATTGTCCATTAGCATGTTTCAAATTAAAAAATTTCATGTGCACATTCACCCACATCGCTTTAGTAATGACTTGAAGTAAAAGAAATACATGGGATGCATTGTTCTTTACAACGTATTAAAACATATTAGCGAGGACACCTACAAAAGATCGAGTTAATATTTCCCCCCATGACAGAAAGCCCGATTGATCTTTAGTTACCTGGTTAATAAGATGGATGGCCTCATTTTTTTGTCAGTGAGGATAAGGGAAACTTGATGCACCTTTCCCACGTGTCTTGTGTACTTCTAAAAATGACTGTCTAGGATTGGGCAAACCTTTGACTGGACCACAGCTCGAGTTCCATTAAGAGAATTGAACGTTTCATTATCTTTCCAAGATCCGCTGCTGCTCAATAGTCATTTTCTGTCTCGTCTCGATTAGAAAAAATCATTCCTTCTACACTTGGGTAAACTTGACAAAATATATTTCACTCCCGTCTTCTAGGTTGGCTGCTCTGTAGTCAAAATAGAAAATCCAACCCGTCTCTTCGACTTTGGACACTGGATTCCATTACTTTGTTCTTTTTGCATAATCTCCTCCACAGTATAACTCTTGCATATGGTACGTAACACATTCAATATTATATATCTCCTACCAGATCAAACAGCAATACCATGCCTCAGGAAATTGTGATATCATTAAAAGCTCCACTTTTTATAATTAATGAAATAATCATTCTACTCGTGCACAGATGCCTTCTAGAATTTGGTTTGTTTCTCATATAATATATGCATTTTCATTCTTCTGCTGGTTATTTTGAGACTCTGTAGAAAAAGGTCAATACTTTTTGCCTCTCTTGTAGGTGCTACGTCCCGATTCTTCTAATATAATCTATACTAAGGACAATTAAGTGCAAGTATTTCTACTTATACTATCCAACGGTTAGATACTTCTGCAGTACACGTCAATCGAATGCTTCAGGGTCGAAGTGCTCTTGTGTAGGGTCGGAGGTGTTTTATGCGTGCTCTAAATGATGATACCATGTGTGCCTAAGCTTCTGCCACGGTTCCTGGAGCTCAAAACAAAATTGTTCCCCTACCCCAATTCCGTTGCCCATTCTCCAACAATTCTTACACACACGTATTCATAACGATACTTCATGATGTAATTGGCATAATTATACAGGAATACCTCGAGTCCTGTGGGATTAACGATTGTCTGGCACAGACCTGTGGAGCGTCGGTAGGCCTGGCGCTGCATCACGCTTTGCATAAACGTACCGCCGTCTAAATCCTGCGATTCAAAAGATATCTTTTCCCCGAACAAAATACCCCCCACAATGTCGATAATCACAAAACATTTGCACAATAATAGTGATACCTCATACTCCAGGATTATATCTCGTCCGGATTTTTCTTCTCTCCTCTCATTCATAATAACAAAAATCTATCACCCTAATAATTTTAGTTGGACGATGCGTTGGAAGGATATTAGTATCGCGTACTCGGTTCTCGTGGTCATTTGACGTATGTCTTCCATCGCGTTCGGTTTCTAAGACCCCACTGGCCAAGGGAATAATCCTGCACAGTACAAAAATTTTTGTTTTCGGAACTCGTCCCATATAGTTTTCCAAATTCCACGATCAATCAATTCTTCGCCCGACAGTCTTGTTAAGCTGGAACAGTGTACACATGTTTCTCCAAACTAACAATCCGTGACCTTTTGACCATGAGAATGTGACGTTGATTCTTCTGAAGATTGCATTAGGATTGCTTTACGTCTGTCTCGTGATTATTAGCTGCAGTACCTATTCCAAATGAGTAGATTCATCCTGTGGTAATTCCTGTGACTCAGAACAAAAGATCGTTTTGCCTCAACAGAATACAGACTCCCTCTAATATTTGATTGGCACATCGACAAAAAAAAATGGCATACAGAAAAACATGTCAGTGAAATGTATAGCTGCAGGAACAATAAAACCTTTTACCTCCGTAGTTTTTAACGAGTCTTGTATGGGACAGACATGTTCGTACATAGAATGGGCAGGATGTCACGCGCTTAATATTCCCATTTGGCATTTCTGCTTCTCAAGATTAAATATATCCAAACTTATCGAATGATGATCGCAGGGGGGTTTTCCTTCGACCTGGCTAGGATCTTCCAGGACGCACGCGTTCCTTATTTTCCTGAAGCTCAAATAACAATTCTTCCATTTTCCCAAATTCCCCCCCAGCAGTCTCGCTAGTATATAGGAACGTCTCCTCCTCCATCATGTTCACTAGTCAGGTACAAGTCTCACGTGATTAAAATGTTTTCTCGCTCGCTCGCTTGGTCACATTCTCCAGGATGATTAACTCCGTCATTATCTCCTCCTAAAGTATTCGCACTCCTGTGCTCGCGCTACTAACCACCCAGGAATCTATGCCGGTAACCGGTCCTGTGGTACAGAATCGAAAAAAAAAACCTTTCCCCGTTTTTACAATCCCCCCCGGTGTTACGTTTAACATTGAAAAGATTATGAGAAGATAACTGTGCTTCTCGTTACGAAAAATTCGATACCTGGTTTATCGTATCACAGAAATATATAGACAAGATGACAATGGATTCTCTTTGATGTTGTCTGGCAAACAATTTGCATTAACTTCTGCAGCTCTCGTAAAGTCATTTAAAATGCGTGCCGGTCTCATCCTGCAGTGCAAAAGATTATCGTATTTCCCCAGTCCCCTCCCACACATATGTATACGTTCAGCAGAGATCACCAATGAGCCATTAATTTTCCAAAATAATAAAACAAAAAAAATCTTATCTCGTGCATTCGCCTTACTTTGTGTTTTCGTGCAGCTAGCGAAGGGGGTCGAGAGAGATCCTTTTCTCGGGCAGCCATTTATTCCAGATGGCACACGATGGCTGAAGCGAAAATAATTTCGTTTTCCCCACAAAAATCTTGTCCCCCCCTGACACATGTTGTCACGACATATTTCTACTGATCCGATTCAGTATGCAAGTTTGCACATTTAAACATTATACACCATTTTGTTTCAATTATGTATGTTCATTGAATACCTCCATGCATATTCAGTCTCTCGGTAGCATCCCCAGCACGAAACACACCTGGAGGCGACTTCTCTCGAATCTAGAACATACATATAACTCTATCGCTCGCGATCGCATCTTCCTCCTCCTTTTCGTTCTCCTCCGTCACCGTTGGACCTCGCACAGCTTTCTTCCCGATGCTTTTTCTCTCTCTCTCTCCCTTTCACTTTCTATACTCTCGCTCCTTGCAGAAAAATGAACTATCGATCGGCTTCGTTCGCATCTGTGAAAATATGGTTATTTCCGCCACGAAGGGCAACACATTTTTCTAAACTAAATACTTTCTCGTTTCCTTCATAGTAATGTAGTTAGTGCTTAATACTTTTCTCTTTTTGGTCAAGATCGCCATGGAAATAGTGAACACATCCTTTGATCCCAATTATTTCACCCGATTCATAGCAAATTTGAATATGTATCATATAGTTAGGCTGTTATATTCTCACACGCCATTCTGTTTATGGGAGAGATTATAACATGTAGATATGACCCCATACCTGGAGACTCTCTAATCCTAGATTGGTCAGGGTGTAACTCGGTCGATGAATGCGTTAGTTATCGGCTTAGAAATGGACTGTTCATGAAAGGTTGTCGGATGACTCGGTGGTGGTGAAGTCGACGGTATTTGGGATGAACCCAAGCGTGAATAGTTATACGGATTGAAAGCCATTCGAAGTGTAGTGCTCCGTGCCAGCATCATTTACTAGTAACGTACGTCTCTCGCTTCGTGACCTGAGAAAACACCATTTTTTCTGGTATTGCAAGTAAAAGGGATCAGCTCACCGGCTGGTATGCTCTTAGTGTATTCAGCGCCTCTCTGTTCTCGAGTCTGCACATCACGCGGAGGATGATTTTTGCGAAGATTGGGCTTGCGAAGTTGCGACACGGGGGTGCGAAGAATGTAAGGTGTTCGTGTATGGTCGGCTGGCGTGCATTTTTTCTAAAGTTGGGATGCGCACTGCGTGGCCTTCTAGAATCACAGAACCTTCCTCTCTCCATCTCAAGGACTCCCAAAAGATACCTCTTATCGACGCGCAACCTTCTCTCTTTTTCCCTCGCTTTCTTTCTATGGTATACGAGTGCTGGTGCTGCTGCTAACACCGCCGGCAGCCAACAGCCAGGATGACTTTGAAACCGCTGCTTCGTATTAGGATTGTCTAGGGTGAATGCCAGACTGAAAAGGATTTATTGGTATTAATAGTCAACGAACCATATTTTCAAAATTGGGAAATCAATCATTTTCACGTTCAGTTATTCTTTTTATTTTTCAAAAATATCTCTTTATTTCAGATATATTCGTCAATCGTATCTTCGCCATTCTCACTCCATCTATAAAATATGTGTTATGTACAAAGAAATTCAATGTGAACTCTACATAGGATTTTATATAAATCAAGAGAATAAAAGCATTTCATATAACTGAAATATGTGTGATTATGAAGATACTTAGGTTGTCCAAGTTCCTTTCTCTCTCCATTGTCTTAAAATAAATACCCGTGTGACAAAAAAGTTCTTTGGAGTTGGATGTATCCCATATGATAAACAAATTAAATATTCTCCTACTAGGAATGTGATGCTATACACGAGTACACAACCATTAAATGATCATTATGAATCAGTCTCAATTGAGTCATCTTTCCTCAAACAGTACTTATCATCCCTGCAATGTAACAAAATATCTGTCTTCTATCTGATGTAAATCTTTGATCGTGGCTTGTGCTGTTAAGTATTTATTAGAACAGATCGAAAAAAAGACTTTGGTTTCGATACGGTCTACAAACCAAACCGATGATAGGCATAGAGGCCTTCGAGCGTGGGGTCATGGTTCCTGTGGTATCCCCCAAGGTCACCAGAAACTGCGACTCCCGCTGCCCATCCCATTTCCATCTCAAACGGTGAGACTGCAAGTAAAAAATATCCAGATATACACCAGGGTAGTGATGTGACTTCTGCTCCCATTGTATATCCTAAGAACTGCAGAATGTCTCCTTCTGATTTCCTCTTGAAGATGATGACATCGATGACACTGATGATGCTTGGTGACCCCAGTGAAGATGTAGATCCTCAGGATTACTTTAGAATTCAATTCAGGACGTTTCAGGTCCTGGTATCAAGTAGTTTCAGCATCAAAGCAATAAGAGCTTTGCTTCATCGTTGCAGAGGAATCTTAATCTTGCTTAGTTTGGACATAAAACTATCCAAACTACTGAGTTCAGGACAAAGTGGACCTTGCCATGGATTATCCCTCTCTTTGCAAATATCACTATATGATAAATCATCATGGCAATAGAGATCATTTTCCTTGAAATCTCTATCGTTCGTCATTCTCTTCTTCATTTGTTGCCACTTTATATATCTCAATGTCTGCTTGTTTCTTAATTCCAATTCAGCCTTGGATAATGCATAAGTTAGTACAGCTTCCATACGTAAATCACGCCTTCGACTTCTTTTACAAATTATCTTCTTAGTGCGAATTCTACCAATCCAATTGGATAACTGCTCGGTCTGACTGGGCTGGTCAACATCAACTTCTCTGGGCCTCAGTGTTGATCCCATTTTCTTCATAACTACACGATCTTCTTGATAATCTACTTGCTAAAGTTTCTACCGTTAACTCACGTTATCTCCAACGTCTTTTGATATTTCCCACCAGGATTTTGCCACACTTGGCACACGTGCTTTCTCGTATTCTGCAACGTATTTCTTGAGGTAGACAGGGATAATCCGTTTGACGATACAGCGTATCAGCAATTTTGACAAACTCTGGTAATTCTTGAACAAATTTCTCACTCCTCGTTCAAACAGTCGTAGTTATTGTTGAACTTCGTAGCCTCCTTTGCAAGACACCACTGTGTTTCTTCGGATAATGAGCACGACTACCTCTCGTCTGTCGCCTAATTATTATTGAATAATCAATTAATACACCAACCTGTATCTAGCTCGTGACTCTCGGCGTGAAGGACCTGAAGTCTCTCCGCAACACCAGGAAACGGTTAACACTAGCCACCGAGCAAGACACAGACAACACCATTCTACGATGGACTTAGGAATGCCTACGCAGCACTTTGGGTGGGGCTTTATATATCCCCCGGACGGCAGACTTGAGGTGTCCTTACGCGAGATCGATAAGAAGTAGTTCCTCAAAAAAATCTAATTTCTAAACATTAACAATATCTTGAGCAATAAAAATGATATCGTATCATTCCACTGGATGTAATAGATCATAGTAATTATTGAATTTGTATTAAATTGCACTGTATATGCTAAAATATATTGTTACAACGAAACATTTCGTGGCGTAGTAAACTGTAATGCGGCTACACCCCACTCCGAGACGTCGTGACGCGGCGTCACCCATCTTTCTACAAGGGACGCTCTTCGGTGTTGCCAATTTTACAATTTAATAAACTTCTAGTTCTTTCTTTAATCGTTGCCATTTTTGTTACTGTTTATATATATATATATATATATATATATATATATATACTACGTTATACATTGTTCATTACTTTCTAAACTTTTGAATTGTGAAGTACTTATTATTTCCTAGGACAGACGACTGGTCTATACAAGATGAACGAACTTAATACCGTTTCAGTTTACCTCGTTGTTTTAACGGCTGGTTCTATAGCTTTTACATTATCTTATATAAAATTTGACAATATTTCGAATACGGAACACTTCGATTAAAGTGCATTTCATTGAAATACTTTAGTGAGAAATCCTAAAAACGTTCCGTAACAATCGATAGTCAGAATTCTTTCTTTGAAACATTTAACGCTCTCAGTCAATTTCATGGATTAAAATCCTTCGTCATCCAAGGCCGGAAATCGTTAGGTATGACTGATTAATCATGGCTAATTCCAAGTAGGAATGATTAAAACAACAAAAATTAGCAAGGTTATTAGAGAAACCGTTAAACATGACAACGTCGCTGGAAAGGATGTATAAGCTACCCTATGCTGAGACATCACATGTATGTATGTACCGCCGTAGGTCACGCTTTCTTCATGAACATTACCAAACGTTACCAATCTCTCTATGTATAAAGATGATTCCTATGCCAAAACAATACAAACAACCAAATCATCTTCATGGATCTGCCATCAATAATACTCCTTGCATAAGCCCACAGTGAATCGACAATTGGTATTAATAAGAAAAAAGAAAACGGTTAACGTAAGTAAAACGTTTTATAGCAATAGCCTATTGTATCTTCCGCATGGCTGACGAATCATGACTCATCCTGAGCAACATACATTACATAAATATGTATTAAAATAGCTATAAAAAAAAAGCTCCAAGCATGCAACACAATAGCAAGAAGCAGCCCCTCATTCTAAGGCTTCCAACGTGATAGAAATATCACATTTCAGACTTGTCTGTCTATAGACTGTTTCTATAATAAATGGCGAGCATTAGCGAACCCGTGATATTTAAATAGAAAGCACGGTAAACTACAAGATATTCCTGCTATTCATGACGAAAGCACGAGCATGTAATGACGCCAAGTTGTTCACTGTAGTAATTCCGCTGAAAATATCCAGCTATGACGCAAATGGTCTAACCTACGCAGTGACGGCTAAGCATTCGTTTTATGTTCTAGAAGCTTAGCTATATTTATATTCTTATCGATCGTGGAAGTCTCTATATTATATAGCAGAAAGAATGTACGAGAAGTTTGCAGCATTGATTCCAGTCACTGCGCATAGCAGTACGTTTTTGCAAATACATATATGTGTATATGTAGGTTTCAGCGTGGGTTAGCAAATCGATAAGAAACGCCTCAATAACAGTCTCTGCAGCTGACGAATATCAAGGACGCGCATACCGTTGCGAACGTGTTACAATTCACGAAACTGCGTTACGTGTCACGTACGATTTTTCGATGTCTTCTTTTTTTTTTCATTTTGAATGAATGCTTGTATGTACAATGTGGCTAGGTATATTATTTGTTGAAGTAACGGGTCTTTATGGCGACCTTCTTTCTGTGAACCGATGAGCTGCCAACGGTTTCATGCACAAAGGCAGCTGCTGCGTTTGGTATGCAGACAGTATTTTTATACCTGAGTATTGTCTGCGTTGCAGACTTGAGGAACTGGTCTGGCTATTTTTATTGTAATTGAGATTGTTGGGAATTTATAATGTGGATGGGAATGCGTTGGATATTGCACGAAGGAAAATATTGGTTTCAATCATTGAATAGGATCAAAGAGAGATTTTACATTTTCTTTGACAACGTACCTTTTATTTACTTTTACATTCTTCACTCGTTTATTATCTAAACGTTTTTTTCGTAGCCTTAGCAATACTTTGTACATATGTATACTAATGGCTGCTCTGTAAGAAATGAATTTTTTATTGGATATAGAAAATTATATGCTTTTCATTTGAACACTGTCAGGCAACATCCTAATGTAATTGGGAAATACGTTGCAGAATGTAAACTTATGCTTTAAATGGTACGCCATATAGAAGGAATTTGTTACGTTTGTGTATTTTGTCGAAAATATTGATAGTAGTTCTATGGCACGAATTTTTGCTGTAACGTTACTAAGCGAACAAAATATTAAGGAATACTTATGGTCCAAAAAATAATTTCGGTAGTAATTTGTGCTACAGACCTTGGCTCTGTGACTATATTTAACATTTATTGAAAATTTGCCAAGAAGGAGGTAGCACTGTTACGTTTAATGATTTCCATGAAGATTTCGTTGGGAATTTTAAGTTAATTAGAAATTTCAATTATTCCTTTAATATTTAATTCATATTACAAGTTTCTAATTAATATAAAAAATCTTTGCACAGAAGAGTAAAAGTACAGATCCAAATGAAACACGTAATTCGTAACACAATGCAACATGTTCATTTATGTACAAATTTTTCATTTGCCTTAAAGTTTTCTTTGATATAACTAAAAGCTAGTCAGATTTAATACAATAATAACATTATAAGAACAACCGCAGCTGTTTCATTAGCTGTTATTTCTATTAAAGACTAGGGATGGTCAGTTATAATTTATATTTACTGTTTAACAACTAAAAACGAATTTGAGCTAGTAATTAGGTTTCATCAAAATGGATAATAGTCATTAGTCCATAATGATTCGATGCTCTTGTGAATATCAAAGTGAATCATACCTAAAAACATGTAGTACAAGGAAAGCCTGGTTAATGCCCATTGTTCTGCGAGAGAGACTTTCCACCTGGATAAATTGTTTGTACAAGATTTCTTCTTTTCACCATACACAGATCGTATGCAGCTCTTTGACATTTCCATAAAGGATGACATCCTTGCCTGAGTCTTCAGAGTGTGTTCGATGCCTCTCATGAGGTCATTCGTTTTCAGAATAAGTAACATTTGTCTATTGACATTCTCCAACACTAAACTAATTTGTGGCAGGAGATTTGGTATCTCCTGTTGGAATACCTCTCTTTCATTTGGTGTAAATTTTGTCTTCTGTATTCCTGACACTATTGTATCCCAAGTTCTACCAGACACCATACAGGCTAGTAGACCATACATGTCACCAACACCCAATTTGGTGCAATGTTCTCTCATTGCGACTCTATCACCGTTCAATATTGCCAACCATAATTTGGAATATTCCCAACGAAATTCGTTAGATAGATTTGCATAAAGCCCGTGATCCAAGAGGATAATCTCTGCTTCAGAATTGTTTTTTCTTACTAGAATATTTCCAGGGTGTGGATCGGAGTGCACAAAGCCAGAAATAAAAATCATGTGACTGTAGAGACGACCCAATTTACTGCTGACTTCAGTAGGATTTATTTTATGCAAATGCAAATATTGCAGATCATTCACTTGACTCCCTTCGACAAATTCCATTGTTAAGACACGTTGTGTTGAATATTCCCAGAATATCTTTGGTATTTTTAACCAGTGATAGTTTTTGAATAGCTTCCGAACTTTTTCAGCATTTTCACCCTCTCGAGTGAAGTTCAATTCTTGAGGAATATTTTTCTTTGTTTCATCCACAAGCCAATCGAATTTGAAATCCGGAAATACCCACGATGTTAGCTTCACCAGAGCAGACATTGTTTTTATGTCTACATAAGAGTTTGATTTGACTGATCGATGTTGAATTTTGACAGCTACTAAACTCCCATCTTTCAATATTGCTTTGTGCACTTGTGCAAGACTTGCTGTTCCCAAAGGTGCTGGTTCGATGGACTTAAATATTTCATATGCATCCTGTTTGAAGTCTTCTTTAATTACAGTTAGAACATCGTGAAATGATGACTGAGGTGCTGAACTGTGCAAAACTTTCATCGTATTCACATATTCCTTAGGAAGTAGGTAATCAAGTGCTCCAATATGTTGTCCAACTTTAATATAGACTCCTTTATTGGCACAACAAAGTTCCAACAATTTTTCTGCACCATACTGATGAACATGAGATTTCAACTGTTTATACTCTGGTGACTTTTTGTTTAGCTTGCTATTGTATAACTCATTCTTATAATAGGAACCAATTATGAAAACTGTCACTGCTGCTCTGCTTAGACGAACTATACCAATAGCACCAAGATCATATTCATTAGCTCTTAAGGACGCCAAAGTTCCTAAGCTAATAGTACCCACTGCAACAGTCTTTAACAGTCTTCTGGATGTCATCATCCTTGTATGCACGCGATGATAAAACTTGGAAACCTGTAATACACCAGGTCAACAAACATTATACAAAAAACTATGAACTCTCCAAGCTCATCACATTTTTACATTAAATCATGAGAATTAAATTAAAAGATCTAAATATTTCTAATATTCAACAAAACTAACCTTATACTGCTTACAAGTAGGATAAACATAAGGATAGAAGAATTTATAAAGCAATATTATATAATGGGAATTAATACAAATCTACTTACAGTTATATCACATATAATTATAAAACATGACTTATAACTAATTCAATTTTTGATGGTTTTTGATAACAGAGAACTAACCTAAACGTCGACACTATTTTTCTTAATATTTACCAATGATCACTAAGCGAAAATACTTGAGGAAAGTGGAACAGCTTTCGAATTTGTTTCAAACGAATTCCGGAGTTGCGCATGGTTGAATAAATTTTCTCTAGAATATGTAACCAGAGTAACTTAAGGATGACCTCGGATATAACTCGAAGCGTGACATCTTCTATTATTGCAAAACTACTGGTCAAGTACTTTAATCAAAAGTTCTGAAGGAAACCCACCACATTGAATCGTTATTAATGCAAATGATTTTTATACTACTTGATTGAAAAACAAATAGCGTCACCCAGTTTCTCCCTATATTAAGCTGATATTAACTTAAGTAGATATTAAAAAACGTGTAAGGTTTTACAGTATTCAAAACAATTTGTATCTTAATCATTTATTAATGTAATTTAGTTATAACAAAATATTCTCGATACATAAAACATACTGTACATACGTTATAAATAGATTGCTAAGTATTCAATACTGCTTTTACACTTTGTATCCTGTTATATATTTTTATAATAAGTTCATGGTAATAATTCATCATATTACAATACAGGACTTCGGTCAGAAGCATGTTGTATCAATGCTCGCTGTAACAAAAATATATTTATCATTAGTGCTAACAAAGTGTTGAATATGTTAAATATAAAAAAGGGTATGCAGGTGATAATCTAATCAAAGCTGATGTTTTGTCATTTGATATATTAGTCGTTAAACACAATACTTATGTGTTGTAATAGTAAATATAGAAAACAGGAATTTATATTTTGAGAGTAGACCTTCCTGCCTTGGCCTACTATTCTTTCAGATACCTGAATAAAATACAACATGCTTTACTCATTTATTCTATTTTGGATTTACTGATGCGTGAGACTAGCGTGAACTTATTGTAAAACATCCCTACTATTCTTTCAGATACCTGAATAAAATACAACATGCTTTACTCATTTATTCTATTTTGGATTTACTGATGCGTGAGACTAGCGTGAACTTATTGTAAAACATCCCTACTATTCTTTCAGATACCTGAATAAAATACAACATGCTTTACTCATTTATTCTATTTTGGATTTACTGATGCGTGAGACTAGCGTGAACTTATTGTAAAACATCCCTACTATTCTTTCAGATACCTGAATAAAATACAACATGCTTTACTCATTTATTCTATTTTGGATTTACTGATGCGTGAGACTAGCGTGAACTTATTGTAAAACATCCCTACTATTCTTTCAGATACCTGAATAAAATACAACATGCTTTACTCATTTATTCTATTTTGGATTTACTGATGCGTGAGACTAGCGTGAACTTATTGTAAAACATCCATTAACCTACCATGTTCCATGGTCTGAAGACAAAACTAGACTAATGACAGACATAAGGAAACGAATGTTTCCTGAACAACAACTATTCATTTTTTCTCTTCTCCACAACCTAAATACATAATTTTTTAAAAATCTGACCAGATATGTAATGTACACACCTTTAATGGCGGTAATGCATTTGTTAACTGCAATCCTAAGCTTCGAGCCAATACAATTGGTGCTGCAGTTCCCTTATATAGTCTGTGAAGTGCATCAATAGCCAACATTGTTGGAACGTTATGCCTTTGTCTCAGAGTTTCATATTTAGTTAAATAGGCCATGTCACCAAACATTGCTCCATTTCTAGCTGCTTCGGCAAGTATCTGTACTAGAGTGGTTACATCACCAAAGCCTAAATTCACGCCTTGACCAGCTAAAGGATGAACTTTGTGAGCTGCATCCCTGGAACATGAATAAACAGAATAAAAATGAAGAATTAAAGGAATTAGTATGTAAGTGGAAACATTAAATAAATTGAGCTCTACTAACCCAACCAGAACAGATCCTGGCTTCACATAGCAAACAGAGTGTCCAAATCCTAATGGAAAGGCAGCTCGAGATCCTTCAACAATCCCAGCTGCTGATGGTGGCAGTTGTTTAGTGACTCCAGTTTGCAAAGAGAGTCCTGCCAATAACTGTTGAAGAGCCTTCATGCCACTTTCAACAATTCCATCCCTGTGGTAAACTTTCCATAAAGCATCATTTATAGCATCCACAAAATGCTCTTCCTCTAATTTCAAAAGCTCTTTTGCTTTTTCATGTGAGACAGACCATACCAAAGAACTAAGAGTGTCTGTTAACTAAAATTTATTAATGTCATTAATGTAAATCTTTCCAATTAAACTATAGTTATCTTACCGGTAGCAAAGCCACTGGTCCACCAGGCAGGAATCTCTGCCAGGCAACAATATTCGCCGTAGGCTATAAAAACAAAAACAAAAAAACAATAATACGTTATACTATTTATTGTTTTAAATCCAATAAGTCTTTGACTTACTTCACCCAGTTTAACAGTAGCAACTATTCCCATTTGGTCGTAATTCCATTTAATGTATTGTACACCCATGGCATCTCGGACTCGTGAATTTGCTCCATCGGCACCGACCTATATCCAGTGACAAAATTCAAGAATTTATTGAACGTTAAATATAGACCATATTGCAGTCCAATAGGGCAACACCTAATAATTGAATTGCATTTTTAACTGCACAGTAAGTGCTGTTGCTGTGGAAGACTATTAATTTCGTTTCTCATTACAGACTTTCATGTTCAAGGATCAACGGCGCCAGGGAGTGGTGGTGAGAATGATTCCAACAACATGGAGAGGATGTTGCAGAAAGTGGGGGAGGATGAAGAAGGAGGTTACAGCACAAAGTCGGTATCCGGAAATAACTTCAGTTTCGTTAGAGATTTCTCTGAGTTCTCAATGAACTTTTAAGTAATCTTAACAAGCGCCAAGTTATCTCTTAATAAGAATTTCTACATAGTTACTTTAAAAAAGTTTATTAAAAAAAATGAAATCACTTTAAAGAAGAAATGATTAACAGTCCAAAAAAGAGATTCGTTGCGACTATTTAAACACATATGATAGTCATATTGTGGGATTTCCTTATCAGTATCCTGAAAGGATGCGGTTGTCATACTTTACATAGAATTAACATTTTTTATAATTTATAAAAGTGATGACGTTAGTGTTATCGTAAAGACTCATTTACTTCTTTAGTCATAATAAGCCAATGAAAGAGGGAGAAGCATCGACATTAAAAGGCTATAACTTTAATATCGTTTTCTGAATCTTATAGTGGAATACCGAGAGTGGCGGTAGCTAAATATATGTTTAATTTGTTTAATAAACATCAGAAACATATGGGGACGCTCTGAAGTATATCTTTAGTCAGGAATAAGCTAAGAGTAGTTAAGAAGACCAAAATCCTACCGCAGAAGTAACACAGCATTGCAGTAAATACGAGTTAACAACGTCAGACTAAAGTTTGGTAAGTTAGTAAAAATTTCAATGGTATCATTTTAAATTCAGTTAATGCATGTAGATCCTGCCAATAGTTTAGCATGGATTTTCTCACACATGGCTGACATATTACTTGTAAAATATACAGTGCCACTGAAGTCTATTGGAGGCTGACGTATTTGAATATCATCCATGTCAGTTTGATAAATATCAGGAGAAGTTAGATAACCCAAACACATTCTTGACGTTCGTATCATCAGCTGTAGAACAGAGTATCAATATTATTTTTAGAACGGAAAAAGAGATGTCAGGACCAAGTCGTTTAAGCTTCTTTGACAGGCTGTCAAGTCATCATGCGACGCATGAAAATTCTAAAGCAAAAGGAGACGACGACAGTAAGAGGACACCGTCTATAGTAATTAATTACGAGGTAACCATGTGAAATTTATTAATAAAAACTTTGTCGGGTAGACTGTCATTATTTTAATTAATTATGTAGGATGATGATGGGGAAGTCTGGGAGGATGACCTACGCGGTAGCATCTCCTCGGAAGAGAGTGCAGAGTCTGCTGTTCCTGGTTGTTCGAAGCATCGACCAACGTCTCATCAGCAACTTTGGGACAAGGATGAAATTATCTTAGGGCTCACTGATCTTCCAGCCGGCGAGGCTGCCCTTGCACTAGTGCCTACACTTCATGGGGAAACACTGAGAAGAGTTTTAGATGAAAGTAAAAACTTAAATATCACTGATGCCGCATCCCGTGATCACAAGATGCCTATACCCAGTTTCGTAAATGGGTACGCACAAAGTTGTTTGTAGGAACTAATGTGTATATAATGTAAGAGGGATAACATATGGGCCCTTGAGTAGATACGTGAGGAAAGCATCTTTAGCTGCTGAGAACGAAGCAGCGTCCGCTGCAACGCCTAGCCATTTGCTGACAAAATGGCCCAACACGTGTCTTCTGGTGTCTTGCTGGTTGCGACACTTAGAGCTTGTAAAAGCTCTTCTGGAAAGAGGCGCCCACATTAACTGCCGCGACGGTGATGGCAGGTTCATGATTTTTCATGATTAATGACCTCGATACAATTACTCTAGGGTATTAGCAAAGTTATGCGTTACAGAACTCCTCTACACTTGGCCGCCTGTTCAGGCTCTGTGAAGATAGTAGAAGAATTATTGAAATATGGTGCTGACCCGGCTGAATGGGATTTTAATAAGAAGTGTACTGCCTTGCATTGTGCTGCAGCTGCAGGAGATGTGGCATCTGTAAAAGTTTTATTGAAATCAGGAGCTGACGTGAACGCTGGTCTCTCAGGAAAGAGTCCATTGCACTATGCAGTTATGAATAATTCAGGCGAGTGCGTACAAGCCCTTTTGGAAGCTGGTGCTTGTCCCAATAATCCTCAGGTATAAAAACAAGATATTTATAATGAAGTTTAATGCACTCTAGTCATTATCCTAAATATAATTAGTGTAATTCTCTATGTTAAGGTATACACTGAGACCCCATTGCACGTCGCTGCAAGTTTAGGCTCTACTACTTGCGTCAAGCTGTTACTGAGTCACGGTGCTGACGTAAGGGTGCAACTGGGACAAGCCAAATCGACTCCATTACATTTGGCAGCCGAGGAAGGCAATATGGAATGCACCAAGCTTCTCCTGGAGGCTGGTGCACAGGCAGATGCTAAAAATTCCAAAGGACAAACTGCAATGCATTTAGCCGCGCTTGCGCAATCTGCAGAAACTTTAGAGGTACTCATTAAAGTAGGAGCTAATGTTAATGCAGAGGATAGCGACGGTAGAGCACCGCTGCACGCTGCCGTGGCGAAGTCTCTAAGAGGAAGCGAATTAGTCAGGATGTTAATACAGGTTTGTAACTTTTGTGGATGCTATATCGATGCATTGCCAGAGTGAAATTAATATTGATCTTTTCAAAAGGCAGGAGCTTTTGTCAACAAACCAGATAAATTTGGCTACACTGCGCTTCATATAGCAGCACTAAATGAAAGTTCGCAACTGGTAATTCTTCTATTGAGCAAAGGAGCGGACGTAACAGCTCGTACTAAAGGTGGAGTGTCCGCCCTGAGCTTTATTGTACGTAGAACACCAGATGCCTTAGCAATATTCGTTGGAAAATTGGATCAATCCATATCCTTGCACGATCACGAGCTTGGAGACGTGGACTGCGAATTGAGATTGGATTTTAGACCGTTGGTTCCAGGTGGTAGAGGTGAAACAGACTTGATGCTCTGCTTGGTGGAAGTTGGTCAGAGACATGTTTTGCAGCATCCTCTATGCGAGAGTTTTCTTTACTTAAAGTGGTTGAGAATTAGAAAATTCTTTCTATTCAGTCTAATATTTCATTCTATCTTTGTAGCAATGTTCACGGCATATGTTTGTATCATGTTCCTTGGCTATCAGATAAGTCTGAACGGTATTTTTTTTTGGCCTGTATTGGTATTCACTTGCATATTGGCATGCAAGGAACTATTTCAATTAGCTCACGGTATAAGAACGTACGCAAAGCGCTGGGAGAATTGGCTACAGTGGGGAGTCATTTTGGCATCTGGTGCTATTTTGATACAACCTATAAGGGAGTGGCAAGATCATGCTGCTGCCTGGGGCATTTTACTTGTCTGGGTTGAACTGATGATGGTGGTTGGAAGATTTCCTATGTTTGGGTTGTACATACAAATGTTTACGCGAGTGTCCATGAACTTCTTCAAGTTTCTAGGAGCTTACGTGTGCCTTATAATAGGTTTCTCATTAGGATTCTGTGTTTTCCACAAGAATTACAAATCCTTTAAAAACCCTGAGATAGGATTATTGAAGACCATCATAATGATGTCCGGGGAATTGGAATTTGAGGATATGTTCTTTGATGAATCTGCACAATTCTTGTATTTTGATACAGCGCATTTGATGTTATTGGCCTTTGTGATACTTGTCACTGTCATCCTAACTAATCTTATGGTTGGTCTTGCAGTCTCGGATATACAAGAACTTCAAAGATGTGCAGGTCTCGACAGACTTGTACGAAGAGCCGAACTTGTAGCTCATTTGGAGAGTATGTTATTTTCAAAATTATTAGATCACGCACCTAAAAGAATCGTGAAAATGTGCAGGAAAGGTGCGTTATTGTTGCATCCACCGCATCATTGTGCTCTACATATTCGACCTAATGATCCTAGAGAGAAACGTTTACCGAAGGATTTGATAATGGCTGTGTATCGTTTGGCAGGTGAGAAAAAGATACGTAACAGACGTACGAGACCCGCGTCCACTAGAAGTTGCAGTGGTATGGAACTTGGTGATATTAGGTTAAGTAGATTATACAGTACAGCTTCTGCCAACGATAATAATAAACAGCAATTAAATGAGTTGGTTGCTGAATTGAAAAGATTCTCATCCAATTTTGGAACACGGTTAGACGCTTTGACCAACAGGATTGAGAGTATAAGTCGTGATATTGATACATCGAACCAATTGTAATAGTTAAATAATATAATTTGTATATGCTTCTATAAAAATATTATATTGACTCACCAATAATTTTGCCTTGAAGGTTTCGCCACTTTGAAGCGTTATATTGGAATCTTCTCCTTGTCTCTTTGGAAGTACGATGTTGTCAACTCTTGCATTGTAGACAACACGGATTGATGGCATCTTTGCTAATTGTGTATTTGCAGCATGGAGAAGCAAGTCATTTTCTACTATATAAGCTAATTCTTCAGATAAATGGTCTTCGTTGAAAGTAATCATGGCATCAGAGCATGCATCCCATACCTAAGAACAATATAAGTGTTTACTGTAGTCAAAAATTCTTTAATAGTTTTGGATTATAGAGCTTGACTTAACAGAAATATGACAATAAGATTTTATAATGTAATAACACGTACCAATTATATAGGTATTTTTGTACAGTTAAATATACAAATATTATATTAAGCATAATGAACAGACAATTTATTATACCTGCATCTTTCGAACAGGTGCATATCGCACTGCTTCTATATGCTGCCATGCTCCGATGCTGGAAAGCAATGTACGAGTCTGTTGATTCAGGGCAACTACTCGATTAGAATAATTATCTTGCGGTTGATATGTGTGCTCTTTGCCACCTTCCAGTAACAGGACACGTTTTGATTCAAGTACTCTGTTATTAGCTGAAACATTTAAAAACTTTTGCTGAATGTAGTAAATTCATTCTGTGATATAATTTTGGAATAACAGTGTATAATACATAAAAAAAACCTAACCTATAGCACATGCTAACGTCGTGCCCACCATACCACCTCCAGTAATAATAATGTCATAATTTTCATCTTTGCTACTACTTTCAGAATGATTATTTCTTGTAATGAAACATGAATTAGAAAGGATATTTTTGTACTTTCTTGAGAAAAACGTTAAAACACCTCGACCAGAGACAACTGTCTCTACAAACGCCGCCATTTTACCAGACGACACGAGACGACACCAAACATAAACTTGGAGAACGGAAGTAAATTTTAATTCGAGATTATCTTCCGGAATCTATTGATTTATTTTCGACAGAAGTAATACACGGTTGATAAACGGTGGCAACGTAATTTCTCTGTTTCAGTCGCATCTACAAGGAACCATAAGACTAATATAAAAAAAAATGTCGAACGTTACTGAATGGTCGTTAAACACAGGTCTGTGCAAATTTAAAAGTATTATTTTGGTACCTAAAAATAAATAAATAAATATATATATATTAAAAATATTCATGTATTTCTTAAATTCTATTATCACTATATTATTATTATTATTATTCTGTTTCAATGAATGATATTCGGAATTAAATTATTTCAGATAAAATCAACGTTGATAAAGGAGAATAGGATACGAAATCGTATACATAATGTGTATACATTATTGATTTTCCGTGAGAGCATCATGTGGATGTTTAAGATTTCAAGAGTAGTGATTTTTTGGGGTAAGATACTAGTGAGATAGAAAAGCGGTTGTTTTCGAAGCTTTGTGATGCCACTGCTTGATACCCCGTTATGGTCACCATAGCAACCTATATACCAATGAAGTTACATTGATCTACTAGCTGCAATAGAAACCAGACCCCTGATAAGGCAAACTAGGCTTTAGTATCACTCAGCAAGAATGAGTGAACATCGTGGAACATCTTTTGCTCATTCCTGCGTAAAAGTACCAGTGGATCCTTACAGTCGTCAACCAACACCTTCTTACGAACGTCCAAAGATCCTTAAGAATGAACGATGCCGATCAGCTGATAAATCTCGCAAAATAAATTTTGCCAACCGTGACAATATTCCAATGAACGAGCAAACGAGTCCTCATGAGACTCTAGAGAACTTTCTCGAGTTCCTGGAGAGCATACCTGACTACGGTGACGTTCATCATCTCACAAATGAGCAATTTAAACAAAAGGTGGATTACTTAAAGCGAAAACAAAGAGTATTGCTGAAAAATCTAAGATACTGTCTAGATCAGGATGTCAATGATAAGTCTGATCTCAGAGAGCATACACCGGAAATGGAGTGTAGTGAAGTCAAGCAATGGTGTACAGATTATAACAATCTCAGTCTAAAAGGGAAAAAGTGTAACTTTGAAGAATCTAGAGTCGAGAGTCCAATACTATTTTCATCTGGAAAGTTTGCTGGATTGGCTGAGGATCAAGACCTTTTGACCTATCGGTAAAAATAAATGATAACACTATAAAAGTGAAAAATTACGATGCTAGAGATATTAAAAAAATTATATACTGATTTCACAGATGCAAGGGTAAGGATAAGGATGCGAAAACTCTACGTAACCGGGAAATTCATTCCGCCAGAAAAAGCTGGAGTACTTGGAGCGAATCAAAAAGTATGGATAGTCCAGACACCGACGAAGATGATGATAGTATAGAAACAAGAAGTCTACCGCCAAGCAGTCCTAAGAGGTGGCATCCAACAGTACCTAAACCATTTAGTTTTACCCTCAGGTGTCCGTCGGATCCCTTTCAATTCTTGAATAATAATTGATCGAAAAAATATGCATAATAGTCCTTGTTTTAGAGAGGATGCGGAGAAGTACATGTCACTAACGGAAATGCAAGCAGAGGATTGCCTGAAAAAGGAAACTTTGGGAGTAAACAAAAAACCAACTAAAAGACGTAGAACAAAGCCAGTTCCGTTGACGTCAAAATTACGTCTTTATGATAAATTATTAGCAGAGAAGGAAGAAAGGTTCTGTCAATATAAATATCATATTTTATTACTATTCTTTATGGCATTTTTTATCAGCACAATCATATAATTTTTCAACATGGCTTCTCTATATGCAACGCCCATTACGTTTACTGGATGCATTTTAAGAAAATTATTTATTTATGTGTAATGCATACTATTTTTTTCGTGACTTATACTTTAGAATGATGGATCAGGAGCATTAGAGGAATCTAATTTCATATTATGAGCACTACTATTATTTGCCACGTAAGTGACATTTATAATTGTTGCTTTTGCGAAGCTTTTTTTGTATTATAAATGCACAAAGGCAGTATGACATCACTGTCTATTATCATTGTTGACCAGGAGTCGTATGGTGAGAGAGGAAAGCGCGTGGAGTCTGATGTCACAAGTGCGTCCATTTAAATTGGAAAGTGCTAGAAGAGCTTTGACAAGATCAAGTCCCGAGTTGTGCCCAGTGGAAAGCAAGGATGTTCCTTCGGTTCCAAAGTTTCGAGCAAAGCCAGTACCCAGGAATTTGTTCAGCACAGAAGTATACGACAGAATGTTGGAAGACGATTTTTACAGGTGAAATAAAATGAAAGGAAAATGATTTTTTACATTCTCATATCTACCGTTTTTTACTCTAGGGCACTGAAGAAGAAGGTGCGCGCTGCGGAGTTACTCAAATCCTCTTCCCTACCGCCTTCGATGGCTCGCAGAGAACGTGTAAAATCAGCCAATACGGATTTTCAAAATAACTCCAAGGACTATATATATGAGAAGTTACGTGAAGGACGAGAATCTACAGGTGCCAGTGTGACGCCATTGCCATCTGAAAGGTCAAGATCGGTCATGACTGTTTTGTCAGGCCAAGGAAATAATTTGGCGGCTATACTGAGGTGCCAGGCTTCCAGGGAAAAGATGGAGCGTGAAATTCAGGAAAAAATGGAAGAGAGACGTAGGGAGGAAATAATGAAGTTGCGCGAATCTTTAGTGAGAAGGAAACCAGCTTGGAGAGCACTGAGATCAGCAACAAGGTGCCAATATAACAATTAAATTCATCATTTTATTAGTAACTTCATTAACTTTGGTTGAATTGATTTTTATTAATTTTTTTTGGGGTGAAGACACGAGCATGAAAGGGATTTAATTCTACGAGCATCTCTACGTCGTGACGAGGCCAGAGAGCAAGCAGAACGTCACAGACTTCAAATGGAATTAATGTTGGATCGTGTTACGCAAATACCAACCCTGTTCGAACGTCATTCTCAGGTAAAAGGATAAAGCCCGTTCTAGATGAGTCGAGTATCCTTGCAATGTTATGAGATCACACACTATAGCATCAATCAATCAATTGCGAGTATCCTTAACGAGTTTAGCGGGCTGTAGGTATAAGTTCAAGATTAACCCTAGTCAATTAAAGGAAATGGAGTATTTGCAGAGCTTCCATACGCCACTCAGTTTCCCGTCAAAAGTCGGAGCAAAATGTCTTTACAAAACGAAGAAGAAGAAGAGAGCCAAGAGAGATAATTCCAGCAGTGTCAATTCTTACGCTAGTCTTGCCAGTAGCTCCAGACCGAATTCCGGTTCCTTGACTAGTTCATCAGGCACCCTAGGGTCTATAAGTAGATCATCCAAATCATCAGGTTCTAGAAAATCCAGCAAGTCAACACCAAAGTCAAGCAACTCAACATCCAAGAAGAAAGGTGATCGTGGTCCATTGAAGGTTTCCATAAACGAGACTGCAGAACTGATCGAAGATCAAAATGAGGAAGACGAAAGATACTCAAGTGATCCAATTCCTAGTGATGAACACGAACAAAATGTATCTGACAGCGAAGAGAACGAGAGCGTTGAAAATTAAAATTATTTTATACACATAACAATTTACAGAAAATCATAAATATTTGTCACGTATAATAATGACAAAAAAAATCAGGTAAAAATTAATTTAAAAAAAACTAATGGCTATTTAAGATTTAATATTTCTTTTGAATATTCCTGTCAATTTTAAAATAAGGTTAAGCGTTATATATACAGTATTATATGGCTATTCTAATCTGCTATTGTATTTAATATCCAATCCATATAGTATGATACTCTAGTATAAACTCCAGGTATTCCCTGAGTTCCACAGCTCATTATTCCAAAACTGACAACGCCATACTGAATATACTTTAATTGGTAATTCAATAATCCTAGTGTTTGTAAAGGACCTCCGCTGTCCCCGGAACTAGAATCCGTTGGACGTTCACCTCCGGCGCACAATTGTTTGTAGGTTATGTCGACTTTGTCCTTAAATATTTGAGCGCATCGATCATACGGAACGATTGGTATATTTATTTGAAGTAACTCTGTACTAGATTTACGAGTACCGTCTATTTCTGTAGCTCCCCAGCCTGTTACGGTAACCTTGCATAAAAGGAAAACTATAAATACAACTTAGAAGCATTAAAAAAGACACCAAGTTAATAAAATATAAAAAGAAAATTTTAAGAGAACAAAATTATAAAACAGCTTTTTATTGATATTATTGTAAAAAAAAGGTATTACAAAATATAATTGTCTTGTATAATAATGATCGTATTGGCGTATTGTCAGAAAAAGCTTTAAAAAAAGTAATTTATAAAAGAATATCCCATCCTTATTCGTATCACATAGTGTCTCCAAATTCGTATAAAACATTCTTATTAGTAAAGTTGGAAAAAGAATAAATTGATAAATTGACAGTTATGATACTCAATATTAAGCGAATCACTGGTACCTGAATAAGTCAGTGCTTTAAAATCTTTATAAAGAACATCGTCGGCCATGACAGTAGATAGCAAACTTACATTTTATCACTAAAAAATAATGTGAGTGAGTGATCTCACTAGGTATACATATATGAGAATGTATGGTAATTCTATATTTGTAATTATAAGCTCAAAGACTATTTGAATTGTCAGTAACACAAAGTCTACGCAGATCCTTTATACAGGCAACCCTGCCCCCTTTAAATATTGAATATCCAGATGGCCATAGTACAGTACCCCTTCCAGGAAATATTAAAGATAAGGTCAATGAGAGTTTGATTTAAAGCTGCCATCTTGTTTACCTAATTGCGGTTATCAGTGATATATCGCTTAGTATGTAATACTATTAGAGTATGCCGTTATTTAAAATATTAAACAGTACCCCAAGTAGTATTACGTATAATCAAGCTTGCTCAGCAATTGCCATTACAGGTATAAATAGTTATTCCTTAATGATGTCCAATATCCAATCCAAGTAATAAGAAATAGTAGTATAAACGCCAGGAAAACCTCCAGTGCCACAATTTCTCAGTCCAAAGCTCACTACGCCATATTGTATATTTCTAATTTGACCATAATAAATGCCAGGGGACTGAAGTGGTCCCCCACTGTCACCGTGACAAGAATCCATCTGATTAGTTCCGCCGGCGCACATCTGCTTGTACCAGATTTTAGTACTCTTTTTGTAAATCTCAGCGCATTCGTTGTTGTCAACGAGAGCCAATTGCACCATAAGAAGATCCTGACTTCTTGGGCCATACTCAGTCGCGCCCCATCCGGTCACAGTTACCTTTTTGTCAGACATAATTAAAATAAGCATTTAAGCTTTGATTATACATATATACAGCAATAAGTCTTCGTGCCACGACATAAAATATTTTTGTGCAAATCAATAAAGTAATCAAAATATCAAAATAACAAAGAAGCTAATAACTTATAGGGAATGTAAAAAAAATACATTCTTTACCTTCTTATGAGTTATTCGTGAAGCAGTACCTATTGGCAGGCAAATTGGTCTGACACTTTCAGGGCGGAAGTCAGCGTCGCCACTGAGCCTGATAAGGGCTATGTCGTTGTGCAATTTAGTCCTGGAGTAATCAGGATGATGATGCACGCTCTCTATACGGAAATCTTGGTATCTTTCAGCGCAAACTACTTCTAGGCCATTTTCATCCTTGTCGCAGTCACGTTCTGTGCTAAGATCGTGTTCACCTAGACGGACTCCGATAAGAGTTAGACCTGCAAGCATAATCGACATAAGTTGTTCATCATATGTGTCAATGATCTAGGCTTTTGTATTACATTTACTTCCGCATTGGCGTACCTGCTGGTAATAAGGTCACACAATGCGCAGCTGTCAAGACGTAACGTTTGTTGATGATTGAACCTCCACATCGAAATTCTGGATTCTTCGCTCCGGTGTTGTAAGCTATCAGTGCCATCCAGGGGAAATCAAAGACACCGGTCTTGTTACCACCAAAAATCTTCTGCTGAGTCACTGGACCACATATGTCATTGTTCAGTAGACGGAGATTCGGGTGTTTAGTCACATCTGGTGGATCTGGTATCACTGTTGGACGTTCTTCTACTGTTTGTTCAGTAGTTACCGGCGTTGAAATCTTTGTGTTATGACAAGAATTTTTTTATTATATTACTTATTATATATTATTATATTACTTTTTATATATTATTTATTATATTACAAACCAAAAAAAGGATATTTATGTAAAAAAAACTTTTTGGTTTCTTGTGAATTTATTTTTTGGAACATTTTGTATTTAGGCCAATAGTCAATCAATTATCCCGAAAGATACGTCCCTTAAAATGTTCAAAGAAATATATTATGGTGCATTGAACTCATCGAATTCATTGTCCTAATGAACGAAAACACCGGAGATGCAGCTGATTAAACGTTAAATATCTAGTGGAAGTAGTTAAATACGTGAATTAATGGTTTAATCAATTTAAATTTTTTTTTACAAATTTAATCAATCAATCAAAAATATTCATTAATTGTATATCTCGGCTTGACAGTTCCTTATGGAAAATTCTGTTATTTGAAGAATAAGAATTCTTTTAAATAACATCAAAGCAGCTAACCATACGATCTTACCTCCGTTTCACAGCAGACCTTCGGATCCTTTCCCTCAAAACCGCATTGTGACCTCCTAAGCAAGTCCAGAGAATCCTGAGGAAGAGGTCTGGCTTGTTTTAAGATATTTATAAGCGCTTCGCATTCTTTTATATTGATGCACGTCCCGGGCTTATACTTGGGGGTTGTACAGCTGCCCTCTGTAGGAAATGCGAATTCTGAAGAAGAGTGTGTACAGAATTTGAAAAAAAGTATATGTATACCCGAACGATAACGAAATCATAAGGTGTGGCTCACACCGTGGAAAATTGTGTTATATATTTATTAAAATTGTTTAAGAAATATAGAGAAGGCAATTTATAATACAGAACTGACAAATAACAAATTTCTACTACCGACGTATTCGTTTCTTACTAATTTTGACGACGATAGCATAATTTCCGCTAAGGAGACTTCCTGGTAAATTTCAGATTTGATTTTGAGTGACGCAGTCCACAGGAACACTTATTTATGCCGGATGCGGGGAAATTGGCGGATGTAGCAAAATCTTTTATTTTACTAATATTGTCAAGATAATGAATTTTTTTTTTTCATCTATGGCGATACATTGCCGAGACAGCAATACAAATTGGTTTCCACAGAGATGCAACGACCGGAAAAATAAAAAGAATTATATGCATAATCTGTTATCGTTGCTAATATTTTTATAATTATTTTAGTACTGATTTTCACAGCAAAAAAAAATCAAGCAAATCTTTTCATGTAATTTTTTCAAGATTTAATAAAAAGTGATAAAAACCGATTCGAGTAGCGACAACCCAGTATTAATATTGATCGATTTATTGCTTTTTTATCACAATGGTGGAATCCTTACAAGAATTTTGTTACCGAGCACAAGAGTAGGGACGAGCAACGATTGACAAATATCTCTATCTATAGACATAGCACGTTTTAATAGTTTATTATTCCTAAGTATGCGTTCTTCGTACCTGTGTCAAACCATTGTTAATCCAATGCGTCAATGAAATACTAGAACGACAATAGAATGCTTAACATTGTAATGTTCCTATAGAAATGTTATTTTACTTTCCAATGAATAAACCTGGATAACCCATATAAGGAAAACCCGTTAACGTATATGGATTAAAGGTTTAAATAAAAAAAAACATTAATGTTTCTAGTCAAAAGAAGAGAAGGAATCGCGAGCCACCACCTTACGTTATTAATAAACAGTACTCACGTCCGTTAACAATTTGCCCCGTCACAAGGAGAATGAAAGTTAAATACAAAATCGTCATAAGAATCCGTGAAAGGTCGTGTGTCCTTCTGAAATTCACAGAAACTCTTGGACGCATTGTAAATTTTTTTCTTTCCGACTTACGTCGGTCGTGTCTACGCGTAGGAGTATGTATATATATATGTATAAATATATATAAATTCACTCGTGATCAACACGAGCCCTTAGTCTCTTCCTTCAGGCTAAAGCATTCAAGTTCCGAGCATTCACCACTGAAATAACGGCCGTAAGTAACTCCAATTCCAATTATTCATTTTTGCTAAACAAGTTTAACAACGATCACGTCTTTTTATGTTCTACCTCGATCCTAACCAGTTTTCGCACGTCTTTCCTCGTCACGTTTACCAGCACGACTGAGCTATACTGAGGCACCGAGTAACTGCTATTGGATATATAATATATCCACTACTTACATTCTTCACGGACTCCATGATACAATCGAACGGATGCTTCTATCAGAATATAATCATTCTGCTGCCATCTGTGAATACAACCTTAATCAAATTATCTTTCATGCGTTTCGTCTATTTTTCAAGGCACACTCGGCATTCCAGGAATTTAAAAATGGCTGACTTTAAAAAAATGTCCGTTACCCATATTTAATTTTGTGACTACTAAATTCATTGTCAATTTATTCCTCTTAATCTAACACATCGAGAATTGTTCGAACGTCATGGTTATTATAGTAACGTTTTTATGTACCTTAGATTTCAGGAAATCGTCTACACGTGTATTTCTTGTAATTATTGATCAAATTGTGACGAATATAAGTACTCCGGGATTCCCGTTGTTGATGATGATTAATCGTAAGAGAGGGAAGGTCGACTTTTGCATGATAACAGAGTGCATATAAAATGGTCTTGTGAGACCATGGTTGTGACGTATTTCTAGGATTGTTGATATACTTTCCTATGATAGATGGATTAATCCTTTTTATATGGAAATTAATGATTGCATGTCTTGTTATGATATGTAACATATGTATTTATATAATCATCTGTTGATCATACAGCTGTTCTGGCTATCGTACAATGATTAATTGTGTCCGAGTTAACTTTTTTTAGTTTTTTCTTTTTTTTTTATTATCACTAACAAATGAAACCGGATGAATACTGTGTGAGATAACGAGTGACATTCACTATGTCGAATGCTTTATCGCTACACAAGCATAAGTAGCATATTTTTTTTAAACAAAAAGAGAGATGGATGTCATATTTTAACGCATGAGAATGGTTGATGTACTTTTCTCTTTGTTCCGTTATACAATATTTTATGAAAATCAATAAGATCATTCTGGTCGCACATATACCTCTTTCGATATAACGTATATATTTATTTATTTCCATCGACTAAGTTTGGTTATGAATTATTAAGTCTATACTAGATTTTTATCGTATTTATTTTTGTTTGCTATGTACAATAGATAGCACACTGTGGTATGATGACAGACTTAGAAAATATCGACATATAAAATTCTTAAGTATTATTGTACTGACGTAATTGTTAATTACGTACGAGGATATTTCAATTGCATATACACATGGTACGCATCCCACATGAATTCTAGATGATGACGACCAAGGATCACAGTCAATGAAATAAGAAATCAAGTACAAGTTACGGGATACCTGTTGTATATGATGAATATATCAATTCTTGACGATCAAGATAATAGTATGAAAAAGTCGTAATATATAAGAAAAAGTGAGAAAAATAAGTTTTCCAGAATGTCTTTACATCATGACAGAATTACGGTCTCATCTTACTGAGTATCCAAGGTATAAAATCTGCGACTTTGGTATAGACACCAGGCCAGCCTTGCATACCACAAGGTGAAGGACCAAAGGAAACAACTCCAACAGCCGTCCATTTTCCTGTACCATCCTGACTCCTTTCAACAGACATCAGAGGACCACCAGAGTCTCCTCTACACGAATCCTTACCCCTCTGACCACCGGCACAAATTTGTCCAGCGCCAAGTCTCACACCAGCATTATTGTAGGTCCTAGAGCATTCTGAATTCTCCACAATAGGTATAGAGACCTTAAGCTTAACATTGGATTCTGATCTGCTTTCAGTTTTACCCCAACCAGCAACAAACAGTTTCTGTCCGAAGGACGAATTGGTCGGAAGACATATTGGTTTTATAAAATCAGTAAAGGTAACATCTCTGGAGAGTCTCAAGAGAGCAATATCATTCCTCTGATCTCTGGAAGCTGGTTTGTACCCCTCGTGAGCAATTTGTTCTTCAATACCTATAGAGATAGGATCATCGGCACAGACTTGTGTATTGTCACCATCCTGAATACAATCAGTCTCTGTTTCAGTATCGTATTCTCCAAGACGTACGTTCACTAGGTTCCAGCTCTTCGGTAGATCCTTGCCTTTGATACAGTGAGCTGCTGTAAGTACATACCGCCTGCTTATGAGGACTCCACCACAAGCCGTGGTACGACCATTAGCTATGGACAAGGTATTATACATTGCAAAGTAGAAATGTCGCTTCGGAGTTAGGATTTTTTGAGGATGATTAGAATACTCACGCTTAGTATATTCCAACAGGGTCATCCAAGGGAACTCGTCCAGGTCGGTACGTTCTCCACCGACAATTCTCTGAGAAAGATCTCGACCGCAGTCAGATGGCAACAAAGAATTCTGACTCAAATTATAGTCAACGGTTGGATTTAATGACGGATTCAGTGGTGTCTCGGTTCCTGGAGAAATCTGCTGACCACCCGGACGTGGACTGACATTTCCGTTGGTTCTAGCGCAACAGACCTTTGGATCTCTACCCTCGAAGCCACACTGTACTTGTCTCAGCAATGTAATAGTTTGAGAAGTCAGTGGTCGGCTCTGAAGAAGACTAAGAAGTGCCGGACAGTTTCGGATACTGATGCAGTTACCAGGAACATTATTAGGGGCTGTGCAATCAGATTGAACGTTGCTGGGAAATTCTGTGAACAAATTTGACTTGTGAGAATTGGAAATCTTTTTAAACTACAGGAAGTTCGTATAAGGTCTGACGTTACTTCCGCCTAATTGTAAATATATTTTTCTGCTCTCACATTATAATGATATAAAGAGACGAGATATTGTCAGATACAGAATCCTGTTATTCTTATCTCGTGAAGAAGTGTCCTTGTACAATACTAGTTCTTGGTAACTGTTTTGTACCATTGCGAATCATGTTCTTTATGTGTTAAGTAAACTGGCTCTTGGTAAATTATATGTATGTTACGTATGAGCTATTATGAATGAATATAAGTATCGTATATGCGTATCTTGTATCACGTAGTTCTTTAACGGTTACTGACGTTGTTAAGTAAGAAAATATTTAGTAATGGCCGCAGGATATTAAGAATTTCTTTCAATCTGGAAAATACATAGCCGGAGGCTTTCTTTCAATTTTAAATGCATTACTGGCAAGCATTTGAATAATGGAAGACAACAAAAATAATCTAACCAGGGAAAAGAACATTTAATACGCGTAGTAAGACACTTGTACAGAATATAAATCCTCAAGTTATTTTTAATATGCCCAAAAAGACAATCTGTGTCGCATTAGTCGTCTTTAAAATGACTTTTGGGCGGTATAAGTTATTTGAACACTTGCTAACGCAATAAGAAAATTATATGAAATTCTTGTAAGCTGAGAACTTGAAGATAAATACTTGTTTCTTTTTTGATATGCGAAATATAAATGTCAAACATGCAAAAGACCGGCCAAACAGCTTTTTAAAATAAAAATCCTAATTTCCACAATGGTATCGAGAAAATAATTTCGATAAAACGTGTCTGACGGATTCGCTAAAATTATGTTACATATACATATACTTTTTCTTTTCCTTTATTATCAAGAACTGCTCACCTTTCACGTTAATGTATGTTATAAGTAGGCAGTGATAATTGTCAAAATAACTTACGCGCATATATCGTGTCCGTGAGCAGAATTTCTAGTAAAAGCAATTTCCCCAGGAGGTACCACATCCTGTGTCCACTTTTAAATATTTTGTTAACTTGCAATAAATATTAATTCCACGGTACTAATAGTATACAGGCAATAAGGAAAATTCAAAGTGGACACGAGTAAAAGGAAGAAGATAATCAGTGAACGCGATCCGACCCCTTCTGGAGTGAAACGTTGACTGAGAGTCAACCAGCTTTAGAGACAGAGTGACCGGAGTCATGGTCAACTGGTCTCCCACCACTTCGTTAAAGATCTGTAAGTGTAATTAGCGTTCTGCGATTCGCTGAACTCTTCTTCGTGAAATTGATCAGCTCTTGCTTTAAAGTTTCCATTAGATTTAAAATAAAATAAAAAACTTTGTACTTGACCTATGTGAATGTTTATCCTCAAGACACTGATGCACTTGTACTATTTTAGGGCTACTGGATCCAAGGAATTAAGGGTCGATTAATAGATGACCAAGAGATGAAGGTGAAGCGGCTACGGGAAGTTGATTCATAGCAGTAGAACTTCAGTAGTCTTTGGCAATAGCAGAAATGGTATTTTACGATATTCCGTGATTTCCCGATGATCTTCATCATAATCATATTCAAAGAACGAAAGGCGCTTTAATGAGAATTTAATTAATCACCATAAGTCTTAATGACTGTTGCTAACTACTATCGTGATGATTAAAAGATACAAGCGATGAAATTGCTAGATTTTTAAAAACTTAATAAATATAAGACACATATCGCATTTCATGAACTTTAATCATATATTAATCTTTAAGACTCAAAATCATAGCGTTATACCTAGATTATGATTTTAATTAATATTAAAATAATTCCTACTGATTCAAGATGAGATATTATTCAGAATCCAGGATAAATAATAAGACATCTTTGTATATACAGCAGGGGTCATGGATTCTCCACAGTGCTTAGCACCAAAGGATACCAGACCTATGATAAAATATTTTGGTGGTCCATGTACAGACTCCACTTTCATAAGTGGGCCACCACTGTCACCACCACATGAATCCTGTCCTATTACTCCACCCACGCATATTTGTTCCTCTCCTACATCAGCATGAGATTTGAAGGCCTTTCTGCATCTTTCAACATCCACAATAGGGAGTCTGATAGTTTGGAGTATGGTACTGGGTCTTGGATCGTCTGCAGATCAAGGATAAAAATTATTTTCCTGTTAACAAAGGATCCTTGAGGACATATTGGATGATATCATTGGAGAATGAATCATGGTCATTATCTGTTATCTTATTATCTGACCATGATCCGTCATCTTGTCATCTGACCATCTTGGTCTGATCAACTTACTTATGTCGTATATACCCCAACCAGCAACTTCTGCAGTCTGACCAAGAAAGTCTTTCAGCAACAGCTCATCTCTCACCATGCAAATTGGCTTTACAAATTCTGAGAAGATTGATTATATATTAATTCCAAAATTAAAGGAAAATTTGTATCACTCTATTGCTCAGTATTATATCATAATTATCATGGTTTATCTTAAGGATATGTACAAAAGATTAAATAATTATAATGAATTATTATATGAGGAAAATCCACACCTATCCGTTAATGTCCCGGTGAATGTGGATGAGTGTGTAAAAAAATCAAACAAAATAAAAAGGAAATACTGAGTATAGAGCACTGACTGAAAGGAAGGAAAGATATTTCTTTTTTTCTTCATTTCGTTTACTTTTTTCTGTATATCCTTGAGAACTTTGAATTCTTCCTTACTCTGCTTCATTTTTTACTCTCATTATTCATATACTCACCGCTGAACTTGGCGGGCTTTTCTAAGCGTATCAAAGCAATGTCATTTTTAAATGGAACATGATTGTAACCCTTGTGTACAATTATTTTGACTGGTTTCAAATCCTGAACTGCTTCTCCGCAGTAATCGTTTTCGCAATCTGGATTTGTAACTGTATTATGTTCCCCTAATCTTATTCTAGACACCCTGTAACTGTTTGGGAAGGATAGTGTAAATGAAGTTTAAATAATTTTGATTATAATTACTTTTTACCTTGCAGGCAAATTAGCCACGCAATGAGCCGCTGTGAGTACGTAGATTTTATTGATTAAGGATCCTCCACAACGATAAATCAATTCAGTACTCATTTTAGAAATTTTACTGTAACCAATTCTTGTTATCCACGGATACGCACCCAAGGATGCATTCTTTCCTCCTATTATTCGATCCGAATTTGAAATTCCACACTGTTCGTCGTCCAGTAGCGACCAGTTAGGATGTTTCATTACGTCAGCTATTCAATTGGAGTTGTATTTTTGGAGAATAGTTGATTGTTTTTTTTTATTTTTTAACATATCAAGTTTAAAAGTGTATATCCTCATTACCTGACGCCTCACTGTATATAACTATGGCGAATGACCACCAAAATAGGAAAAACCAGTGGCATAGAATTAATGGCATTGTAACAAAGAATGATATTGATGACGCCTATGTAGTTCACTGTGGTATACTGTTTAGGAAAAAGATATAATGATACATTTTTTGAAATATTATTCTTTACAGATTATCTTACCCTGATTAAGATTTTTCTTGAATTATTGAGAACAATTGATATTGATATAAATTAAAGTGTTCAAAGAGTACCTGAAGCCAGTCATCTACACTGTACAATATCCAACTTATTCACGTTGCATCTTTGTGGCTTATACTTATCTCCGTGACTAATGAACAATATGTCTACAATTTATTATGCATGCCGAGAATAATTCATTCGTCCTGCATTGTAAACTTTCAGATAAGGTTCGACATGATAATTGATATTTGATCCGAAAGAAGTTTTCTTAAAACGGAAATTTGGAATATCAAATGACACGCGAGAAAAAAAACGTTTTGGAACAAAAGATTTGATACCTTGGAGATTTTTGAGACAAGATTTTTTTTGAGTTCTGTTTAATTTTTATACTTATTTTATGATAGTATTGCTTTACTGATTTCTGACTGCAATATTTTCGAAATAATTTCTGAGAATAACGTATTATTACCGATGTCATCAAGTACCATTATGGAAACTTTTTCTGGAAGTGATTTTAATATATGTGAAGATGAACAGGTTTCTCAATGTTCTGTGTATAAATTATGCTGATTTTTGAGAAAAGGTAGTCTAATTAATATAACTACTTATTTTTCTTAGGTTATTCCTGAAAGCAACAACTATCCAGATTTGCATCTTGAAACACTAACAACATGTGAATCACAATGTTGGAATTCTAATGAAAAATGTGGATTTAAGGATATAATCATTTTGACGGGAAAAAAGTATTTGACAAATTTATCTCAATATACCAAGAAAAGTGTTCTTCAATTAAAAGACGATAATTTTGTTAGATCACTCGTTGCTTCTATAGCTCTTTTTACCATTGGCATGAAGCTAACGCGAGAATTGGACGCATGGAACGTATCGTCTATAATTTATTAAAATTATAAAGGATAGGTGATATTGTAAAATTGATAAACACGTGAACAATGTTTCGTATACGGTGATTTATTATATAATTAAATGAACCATATGAATGAATCCTTTAAATATCCTAAAATTGTAATTGAGTTAATTAGCAGAAGCAATTTTTTCAGCCGATGATTCTGTCAATGTTTGTCTTTACTTTTTGAAATATCTTCTGACTTTCCTGTATCAATTTTTTCCTTTGCTATATTCTCCTCTGACACCACAGTATCATTTTGGGTAGTTTTTTCTAGTTTGGTCTTCGCATTCAAATCTTCGCTAGAGACATTAGAATCACTTGAAATACGATTATCCATAAAAGTTTCTGAAGTTTCTTTTTTCCTAATAATTTCATTCTTTTTTATCTTATCAGACTCATCACTGGAATGTCCGCTGTCGTGGGAAAGTTGCTTTTCATCTACTTTAGATTTTATTTCCTTAGCATTGTCATCATCTTCTGAGTCAGTACTGAGTTCATCAGAATCAATATCTAGATCTAAGTCCATCAAAGTTTTCTTTCTCAGACTTTTTCCTTCATCCTCAGCTTTTCTCTTGATCCCTGAACCACCAGCAACAGCAACTTTGAAACCTTGCTCAACTGCATCACCAACTCTCTCAATCAGTGACGATCTCTCTTTCTCATAATTTTTGTCTTTAAACTCATGCTTTGGCTCCGCACAAAGCCTCTCCAATTTCTTCTTTCTACGTTCCACAGCTTCCTCCTCTCTTGTAGATTGCTTATCGATCCAAGCCTTCAATCTTTTTTCTTCATTAATATCCCTCAGACGTCGACCACTCAAATCTCTACAAGCTTCTCTGTTAGTAGTCTTCTCAATCTGAGCTCCAATAGCACGTAGCATTGATCCAAATCCACCTTTCCCTCCAAGCACCTTTGGTATAACGACGACAGAGCCAAATGCACAGACATTCTTATTGCGTAAGATATGGCCGTTGTGAACAATATAAAACTGTCTCCTTGGTAATCCCTAAAACAAATATATGCCCCATTAAAACAATACCTATACTAATCTCCACGTATAAATTACTTTAATAAATAAGGAATATAAGAGGAAATATTTCGAGTGAAGCTAGGTTAGAACTACCTAATCACAACTTACCGTTATTTCCTCCACATGATTACGAATCTCACATGTCGTAATCGGATTTTCTGCAGTAAAGATAGGCTGATCGCACCGGCCGGTACTAATTTTAACAATTAACATTGTCGTTTTCCCATAAATTCTCTCTTAAACACGTCAAAACCACGATTATTTCACACAAGCTGCCACAACTCAAGCGCCGTGACGTATCGTGAATACCGTTGTTCTTGGAACTGTATAGGTACATAGAAATATTTGGGAACTATAATGACGTCAAAAAAGTACGTTCAAGGCTATAACGGAAAACACATGCGCTTCTCTTAAAAGTTATAAAATGTCGTTAGAATGACAAATCAGATTGTGAATCGCTCGATATGCAATCAAGGCGAATAATATTATCAAAAATATGTATATCAACTGATTACGCAAAAACAAACTCAGTATTCAACTCATGTATGTAGGTACATTCACATATGACAGTCAGTGTATCGAAATCTACATGAAGGGATAGCTGTAAAAATATTCAATCAATCACTTATCAAGGTTTCTTTATAGATTTTTAGGCAGCCTAGGTACAGTAAAGGCCAAGGATTTTATTTGATCCTTCAAAGTAATAGTATCAGTACTGTATAGGCATTATCAGCTAATGTTTTGTATGGCGTTACCATGACTACACTTAGGCATTCTAGAAATTCCTTTTAACGTTTTATCGCCATTGAACCTCTGAGAACTCCATCGTGGTCACGAGATACCTCGTTCAGTGAAACTGACACACGTCACAGTATCAAGATTCGAAATTGTTAAGTTTCTTTTAAGAATATTAAGCCATGAATGACAAAGAGGACAGTGCCTGGGTCTTTGACTCTTTAGTTGGATTTTTACAAGGACCAATATGGTCAGCTCCACTATTGACGTTCATAGAAGAGAGATCCCTGAGTAAGGAGGTTTCTTTTATAGCAATATAAATTATTAAGACAATGGAATATACTAGAGAAAATATTATTATCCAATTCTTCATAGTATTCGAATCCGATACCGAAGACAGCGCAGAGTATCGTGAAATTTATCAGGAATATAAAAATTTAGTGGATCTACTTCTTGGCTGTTACATGGAAGACATGGGTATAACTCCTGAACAATTTGAACATGCTTGCGCATTAAATAAAAATACAAAAATGCCTGTTCAGTTCCAACAAGTGAGTATCTCTTGATTGCATAGGTACTTCTCATTATTGTTCTTATTTTTAATACAGAAGCGGCACATTGATACATTCCAGAGTCTCTTCGAGCAAATCTGGGCAGCGAACGAGTATGAGATATTCAAGAGGATGATGATCCAGAAGAACTTGGAGCTGCAACTACAGGCCTTGAGCTTGATCGAACAGAAATACGGCTTGACCCCAGCATCCTTGACTTGTGAGGCAGATGCACTTCAGGACGACGAATTGGTAATGGAAGAGTTACTGCAGTAAGTCAATTTTTCGACAACAAAAATCAAACATTCACGGTGACAAATCTTATTCTGACATTCGTTTAAAAATTTCTGCAAGTAAACATATGCTGGAAGAACGTAGAGAAAGTGAAACGGAATTAGATCCAGACCCAGTGTTGCTCGAGGAGCATCAACGCTTAGCATCGCAGTACAACGCAGAACGCGAGCTTCTTCAAAAGGCCTTGAGAGAATCTGCAAATTCCACCAGGAGTCATTCACCAGAGCCCGAGCAGGAGCAGGATGAAGCTGTGCAGAATCAGTCGAAGACACCCTTGAAAAATATTCCTGAGCTGAAGAAGTTGGTGCCGCTTGATCCAATACCAGTAAAACCAAAGTCCAACGATGATAAGGTAAGTTGATCCGATGACACTGATATCGGATGAAAGCTAATAAAATGAATCCCTTGCGCGTCACGGCGCTCTAGGCAGAAGAAATAGAAATAAAAAAGCGTCAAGATTACTTGAAGGCCCAGCGCGACAAACTAGTCGCCCTGAAAAAACAAGCGCGAAGTCAGAGGCTGGAAACGAATGGAGCCCGTCCGAGTTCAGCAAGAGTAGCGGCCAAGGCCGCCATTAATGGGAAAAAAGATTATGAAGATTCTGAAGCTTTGGAACCTTCAAAAATTCAAGTACGCAAAGCTCTCGCTGCTCGACTCAAGGCTGAAGTCGTGCACAATTGAAGTTCAGCAATAAGAAGCAGCTATCACACATAGCTTCAGTCTTAATATCTCATCTACAACAAATACTTATCTTAACAGATATAGATATCACTATCTACGTATCCTATTAATTAACGTTCTGCAATCCTCGATTAATAAATATTGTGGAACCATGAAAATCGCAAGGTCGGGTTGTAACACCGATAATTAGCCGATTCTTCTAATTTTAAGTTTTATTTAATTAAATATTCTTCGCACTTCTACAACACACTTGTATTCGTATAACATTCATCCATCGTTCTAGACTCCAATATACTACCCAATGTTTTTCCATATTTTCCTCCTCCACTTTATATCTCTCCGTACAGGACGCTCTGGATTCGTAGCAAAAAACACCTAACTCGTCAGTATGCGCATGATCGCTGCGTCGTTCTATACGTTGAGTTATGAAATGCTTATAGCACGCCTTCTCGCGGGTTAACAAATTCAAAGTATCAACTACGCGCTTGTATCACTTTAAAACAACAAAATTTCAAAGTGACACATTAAGTAACGCAGTCGTATAAGCACTGTACAATTTTATCATATAAAAATAATAAAGAATAACTAGGATTCGCATAAACCCCGGAATAGGAACAATGAAAGAAACATAATTGTTTGGCAAAAGGAAAAAAAATTCAAATAATTACAATGTCAAAATATTATTACCAGTGAAATTCTTCATTTCAATATACATACCAGAATTTCATCGTAATGACAATGCACCTCAAATGCATTATAAAAACTCAAATACAAAAAAAAAATCCCTACAATTTTTATTTGCCTGATTTTATGCTACATATCCAATACGTCTCGAATGCTACACATAGATATCATACCCGTTCCCCTCTCGCCACCCCCTACCCCTTTTATTAACTAATTTATTTATTTACGTCTTGTTTATCCAGTCCTCTCGTGAAAGCCTCCATTAAAATAAAATGCAAAATATCCGTTACTTCGCGCCTCGCTCAAAACAGCCCTTGCCGATGCATAACTGAAGTCGTTGTCATCATCCATGTTTAATTTCATTTTCAAAATTTTCCTCGAGCGTTTCCCCCTCTCTTTCATATTTTCCATATCTGACCTAGTTGTCCAGTCACGACCGTCCGTTGCTTTATGCTTTTTATACAACAAACGAAACAGATAGGCATTCTTTCCCTTTTTCTTGTTTTTGTTCCTTTCTTTTTCATATAAAAACTCGTGCACCGGAGAAAAATGTCACGTTCCATCCTGATATATAAAGTAAAACGGAAAGTTATCGTTTAAAATTTGATATTGTACAAATGTATGCAACAGTTGTTGTCATTGTTGTGACGTGTTCTCGTGTTAATCAATCGTCATCTCTTTCTATTAACGTTACGTGTCAACCGCCGCGGCCCCAGGTGCTGTAGTAAAACTTTAAGGTTAACTACCTTCGCGCTTGCTAATATCTCTCTTCGCAGACAGAACGTCTTATTGTTAACGCCGAGTGGCAATGAATATCCGTCTCAATAACAGCGAGAAGTTTTAGGCAGTGTCGTGTTTTTTCATTTTTTTTTTTTTTTCATATTCACTCTACTACTCTTCATTTTCGCCCATTGTATAACGACTCTATGACACAATTGTCTCTCAATCACCGGTTCATCATTATTTCTACAAATATTTCTCACGTGACAATGTCGAGTATGACTCTGATTCCTAACCTCAAGTGGATGCATCAATTATCATAGTGTTATGTAACCAATAGCAGAACAGTATAATAATAGTATTATAAAAAGCCGTAACATTGCGATTAAATCGTCGAAAAGGGAAGTCTGAAAATGTTGGAAAATGGCAGGGAATGATCTCGCAACAATTTTTTAAGACAGTTCGCATCGTTTATCATGAAACATTCAATTAACGAGAACAGTGAAATTTATCTAGACGATAGTCGCGAAACGCCGATTGCGTAAGATCCGTTAATAATTCGATGGGCGATTTAAAACTGCTGACAAAGCCTAAAACACTCTGTACAAAAATACATGAAGTACACTCAGAGAGTTTAGCGCTCGACCGTACTTTTATTCAATTAATCACTTTTTCACTTATGCATGTAATTAGTCAGTTTTCATGTAAACGGGTTGAATCGTGTAATGTATGTATATTCGCAGTGTAATATGTAATATGTGGTATACCATCTCTCTCTCGCTCCCCCCCTGCATGCCCCCCTCGCTCTCTCTCTTTCTCTCAGTCTCTCATTTCTTTACGTTCCACTTTCATTTACTTACAATTCCTCGCACCCAACATAGCGCTCACTGCTACCCTTAATAGTAAGTTTTTTTTTTCATCCTTATTACTGAATAAATTGTAAATATAGTAAAACACATGAGGAAACAACATTATTCATTATCTCGTCAATTAATTAACTAATTAATGTTAGCCTTTGTTACACTTTCTGTGGTCAGTCCGGGTTGCGCGACTTTTTTTTTATATAAATATGTACAGCTCTGCTCCAGCCTCCAACACCAGCCCGCGTTATCGTACAGGAGCTTTCTTTCTCTCTTTCTCTTTCTCTCTCTCTCTCTCTTTCGCTTTGTTAATTGGCTCTATAAATTAAACGATCGATCGAATTAACTTTTACTTCGTAAGCAATCAGACTCATTAAGTGTGGCAAGTCAATGACAGGATAGCCTTGCGACGATTAGATTATCCCATGATTTCGAACGAGGTACCCAACTCACACGGAGATTAATATATAACGTAATCGTAAGAAAAGAGGAATAATAATTACAAAAACTCATTAACTGCTATCGAAGAGAAATAATTAGAGATCGTTAAGTGTAAGTCTCCGTGATAAGCGGCTGATCGAAATCAAAAGATAGACAAGATATAAACGGATAGCCATTAACTTGACATTGTACGTTAAAATTCAAAAAGTCAATTCAATCGATTGTACATCTCGGCTCGTTAAATTGATCGTTTGCCAGATCGATGTACTTTGACAAATAAAAATATTCAAAACGGCTAATAATAATAATAATATGAAAATAAGATAAATTATATAACCCAGCAGCCATTACTTTAAAACTAACCAGATTACACTCTGAAAGAATTATTCGTCCAGTTGGTTTGACTCTGAATTTCATTAAATCTCGAATTAAGTCTCCGCAATCATTGAACTTGATAACTTTGTGTTTAATTTGATATTGGATTAGAGAATAGAGCCGTATCAATTAGACCGGCATCTGGTTTATCGGAAATTGAGACTATATCGACTGTAAGTTGATTCACAATACCCTTAAGATTGTTCCTCTATTTATCTGTATAAGCAGGACTTTTTGTCCGGAGCACGACGATCATGAAAAACTTCGCTTAGGATTAAAAAAAAAAAAGAGAATCATCAAACTAACCATAGAAAAAATTGGTGGGACGCGGGTTGGTAGGCTCTCGAGAGCATTATTTGATACGGTTTTTTTAATTCGTATGGGAATAAAGATGTTTTTTCACTGTCACGTATAAGGAGAATTGATGACGTGTTGATAAAAATGAATTTATACTATTGATAAGTGACCGATAATTGTACACGTTCGTATTCCGTATTCCTTTTATGGACGTGTATTAAGTTTTATTCTCCCTTCCCCTCTCCCCTTAATTCTTTCATATATCCTTTCGTCATTTCCACGTAAAGTGGAAAGCAAGTTTTGAACGAAGAGAAAATCGTTATTTGATATAATATATATAATATGTGTATATATATATATATATATATATATATATATATATTTATAATGGCCTTACGATATCCCTTGGATTCATGATGGAAATAGTTCCCATTTTAACTTTACACGCACTCCGCATTTAATTTTGTTTCTTCACTGACTTTTACTGTCGGACATTTTCCGTTGCTTTTTCTATACACAAATTCTTTGAATTTTCGTTCAATTTGTACTGGCTATCTCCGATAAAAATTAATGGTTCTATACGAATAGTCATCGACCAAATAAAAAATCAATAGAGAATTTAAATGCTCAATTTATGACAGCAGGGATTAGTTAATCAGAACAAAAAAAATGAATAATTTCTAGCGACGATCGACACTGATGTGCAGTTTAGAAAGAGTGTGGGTCAAAACTAAGAAGATAGGAATTATGTTTTTACAAAATGTCACCCGATAGATTATTTTACAATTTTGTCCTCTTTCAAAATCCGCCATAGGCACGCGTCGACGTAATAGTTAGCGAGATTTGCCATACGTGAGATGCTCGATCAGGAAGAGAAATGAGAATGAGAATGTGCGCGAAGAAAGAGAGCGAAGAAGGCTGAGAGATAGAGAGAAAGAAAAAAACCAAAGTACTGAGACTCGTTGGACAATAAGAAAGTGAGTAGTGGCAAAAATGATAATAGACTCTTGGCCATCTTCCTCCAACCAAGTGTAGGAATCAAAATTATGAGACACATACGTTTTCGAAATTGGTCTTAACATCGCACACTAAGTATAAATCGACCTGCGTGAAGATACGTTGAGTTGAAGGTTTCGTCGTCGACAAATTTTTAAGATCCAAGCGCGCGCTTAGAGATCTTTACCTTAAAATCGCTAGGCCTATCTAGAGCTTTTAGATTTTTTTTAAGGTTAGGGGCAGGGGCATGGCCTAGGGGGGTTGGTACTTCATTCTTTTTCTTTTTTACTGGAGCAGCTTCTTGTTTCACGTTATTTGTTCAGCGTGTGAGGCGTTTTTCAAACCACTGGAATGAACTACGATTTTTCTTCAAATTTACTATCTCTTTACACAACATAGTCGTACAGTAGCGTGTAAATCCTTATTATTTACCTTATTAAGAAAGTTCAAAGTTCCTTTTTTTTGTTTTACAAATCCATCGTCTTTCTCGTTATTTATTCATGTTCCGCATTCTGCATCCGCTCATATATATTTCATTGGCCACCTTCAACTATCTCTCTCTGTCTCCTTCTGTCTTCATCCAATTATATATTTTTTGTTCCTTACTATTATCTCGTTTTCTCATTCTCTCTTAACCCCATCCTTTCTCTCTCTCTCTCTTTCACACTCTCCTTCCCTTTTTTCCTGCTTACTCTTTTTCTCTTCATTTCTCCCCCTTTTCTTGCCCTTCCTTGCCATATATCGCCATTTTGTTGTTTAATTCGTTCGTTACTGTACACAGTTTAGCACGGTCAGGCGTGTGTAAATGTCCATCAAACACTACAGTTTAAAAAGTACCCCACCGTGGCTGACCCTCATCTTAGGAAGGACGAGATCTGAGATCCGATCTGTCGCAGGATGTGAATGTACGGAACTAAAGAAACTCTGATTGACTCGCAGGAGCCTCTCGGGGGCACGCCGACGGCGATTGATTCTTGCAGCACGTACACTGCCTCCTGACAGACTTGCCTACTATGAGAGTCGCTGTCTCTTCGGCGAAGGACTCAGTTCAGAGTCCTCATCATCTTCATCCGAGTCGCCCTCGTAATCGACCAATCCCTGAAAAAAGAAATAATAGTGTGCACCACGCAAACATGTCGTACATTACTGGAGCAAACTAGTTCTGCTATAGAAGCAACCTCGTCCTTAGATAATATTGATAAAGCCTATATTAAGAGTATTCTTTTAAAATCCTTACCTTTTTGAATATAGTGGCACATATCTTTTCCACGTTGCTCACGCCTGACCTGGGACTAATTTCCGTGGCGATCGACGAGTCATTGGCCGTCGGTGCACTGTTAACTTGTGCTTGTTGCTGAGTGCTTGTGTTGTTGTTAGATGCGTTGTTGTTCAGGACTGTCTGCTGCTGCTGTTGTTGCTGTTGTTGTTGTTGTTGCTGCTGCTGCTGCTGCTGGCTCTTGGAATCAGCAGCGGTAGGATTTGGTGCTGGGTTTGGTGTGGGCGGTTGCTTCTTGGCCGAAGCTGGTGGCACAAGATCTGCGGCCGCCGCTGGCACGACCGCTTCGCCCTCGTCGAAGTCTTCCTCCTCGTTGAACCACATTTCTTCCTCTTCGTCGAGCTGCCGCTGATCTCTTCGATATCTACTGTTTCGCAGTATCGAGGGCGCGCTACGGTTGACAGAGATATGAAAGTGCGTACCGTTTTAGCATTACAAAATGAATTATAACTAGGCAGATTGTAAACTGAGGTTATGTTGGAAAATTGAAAATTAAGGAATGGATAGCTGAATAGAAGGAGGACATGGAAAGCCAGACAGACGTACCTGTCGAGAGTGGCTCTGTCACGGTCCTTCAGTTTGTCCTGATGCTGTTCGTACCTCAACTTTAACGCCTTGAACGTTTGAACATAATCGATCGTTTCTAGTTCCTTGGAGAAGTTTTCCACGACGTGCGAACATAGTGATTTGATGTCCTCCTTAAGTAAATTTTAAATATAGGTTAGCATACTGTATGTTGAAATCAGTTTGATGATTGAGAGGAAATTGACTCACCAGCTTGATGAACTCGAACATTTCTAGAATAGCGGAATCCAAGAGGTTATATCTGCCATTATTTCGTACAAAGGCGTCGAAGACAGGTGCGAATAAATTTCCTTTAATAATGTATCTGTTATAAAACTCATCCTTGAGTGCTATAATCTTTCTCATAAACCTCAATGCGCATAGAACTAGAAAAGTGTGCGTCGACTTCATTAGGACCAATATTCTTCTGAGTAAATCCTTGTTCAAAATGCAATTCTTAATGTGATACGTGTGATGCTCTACACAGAAGGACAGCAGCTCTAATATCAGACCAAGGAGTTGAACTGTTCTGTAGTCTTCTCTAGCTGGTCTTTCACCTATAGTATTTGCCAGGAGAGGTGCTATTAGTGTGCCAATGCTGTTCTTGTAGAAGTAATTCAGGAAATCAGTCTTCTCGGACTTGTTAACCGAGGCCAGCATATTCTCTGGATCCAGAAGCAAACGTAAAACACCAGCTAGTTGTACAGCTCCACCCAATTCAGGATCACTGTCGCCAACCAGCTGCGCCACGACCACGTTGACCAGCATTTGATCCTGTTCGGTATTGTTGATTTGCTGAAGCGTATAATCCCTGACGACACTTGGCGAATATTCAACGATATAGGTCAGGATATCTATACTAGCCGTCTTGGTCTGGGCATCGTTTATCGCCAGCGTAATCTCCAGAGCAGGAAGGATTCCTAGAGCCGTGAGAGTCTTGTAGAAAGCCTCCTTTCCTTGGGGTTGTAAATTCTGTGAGAAATTGCAGAACTCCTTAAGGAAGAGGACCAGGTCGCGCCTCTTTGCGTCCGAGGTTGCTTCATCCGTTAACTGACGGAACAGTTCCGTGAGAAACTTCTCGTCGTCTTGTATCAAGGTGACTATCTCGACCTTATTAAAAAATATGAAACTACTCAGCGTACTGAGCATGTTGTCCTCGAACACACTGGGGGTAGGTAGAACTACGTCTTGAATGTACTGAACGCGGTAAGTTTGATGAATTTTGGCTAATAGTTCGGCGTTCGTGATAGGGATAGCTTGTTTAAATCTGGCTAACTGACGAAGATATTCTCGATGTCTTTTCGGCTGCGGCAACGTGGGTTCATACTCCAGACAACCGACCACATCAAAAATCGTGTCGTCACTGAACATCACCTCGAAGAGCGCATTCTTATTGAGTAGGAAAATATTCTTGAATATATCATAGAGATGATGGAGTCCTTCGATGTTTTCTAAGTCCTCACAAGTGTGAAAAAGATTTAGGAGCTTTCTTATATAACCTTCCGATTCCAGTGCCATGGCTAACTTCTCTTTTCGCATCGGTGAAGATAAACAGTTTCCAATTAATTCATTTATGTCCTCCAATCGACCTAATTCACAAGGTGGTAGCTCGATCGGCGGTGCTGAGTCTGACATGTCATCAAATCTCTCATCTTCAGACTCCTCGACTATGTCTTGGGTTATTTCCACTGAAGGATCTTTCCCTTGCACCTGACATATTTTCTCCCAGATCTCGTCACAGCCAGCTCTTTCTTGAAAACTTAAGGCCAAGTCAAAGTTGTCTCCTTCTGACCATACTATCAGTGTGTCCTGAAATTATTAAGTTTTCACAATGAGATAAAACGATAACCTCTTCTGCAGCTAAATAGCATTCTTCGTAAGGTAGGCAACGGTCATTCTTCATTAATATTTACCTGCTGTTTCTGGTATGCTGTATCTGGCTGAATTTTACTCTCAAGCAATAAGGACCCATCGCTCTCTGCTCTGACCAAAAGAGAGATACCCTTTAGCCTGTCAACGTAAGATGAGGAAACGTGACCAGTGCCACGATCGTCCCATTGTCTGTCCGCGTTCAAAGCGTATAGCTTAACTCTTCTGCGCGTATCCGTCATGATGTACAAGTGAGTCGCGCACAAGCTTTCGAACTATCACCAACTAATTGGCATCCCTTCTACGTAATTATCCGTAGATTGTAAACCCTTTAAAACTTCCTATTAAAGACTCTTCTTTTCTGGAACTGTTATATTGACCTACAAACCCACACAACTCAGAGATCCTTTATCATACCATACACAATGGAAACATTTGTTGGGACTACAAGTGAAAAATGCAAATTACAGTTGTAATATTTGCTCTCTAAGTAAGTCTGTTAATGACACTTTATTTTGTATGGATTGTCTGTCTCTAAGGATAGCGTTAAGATACGCATAATTAAAAACGTAACCACCGTTTGAAAATTATTTTATAAGCGCCCGGAGCGCATATCTATTGTTTACACTGCATCATTATAGTAATATCACTATCGATATACAATCCTTGATCAATGTGCCTCGAGCAATACTCTTTCTTGACGATCAATGGTATATGTACTTGTTACACTTGACTCATGCCCAAATACACCAAATTTTTCCAGACTGCAAGATCACAGTGTACCATAGGAAAACGCCACTCCTACCTAAGTGTATCAGCACAGTACAGAAGTGTGGCTGTATCTCCTAAGACAGTCACCTAGAACGCATTTCTTGATGAAGATCAAATGAGGATTGTGAATAAGCAATAAGACCTTATTGTTTACCGTGAAAGGTGTTTATGCGCTCGTTGCATAAGCTCGCTTTCTGCGCCAAAGGATATATTCGGCGCGCGGGAAACTCCGTTTTATGCTCAGTTCTCTGGTGATGTAGTACAGCTTACGTTAGTTCTATAAGCCACAATGCTTCTTGATCCTCCAGAAAAAAAACAATAGTCCCACGTCCTAGTAAATTGAGTGTTCGTCGGTCAGGATCCCCCCGCGAAGACGAGCCCCTATGCACCGCTGTGTACTATTGCTGTAGAGCGGTGCCGCGGTAAACGAAATCAGAAAGCACGTACTCGAGCAGCCGTTTCTCGATCCTACGAAACACGAACCTATCTTCCGCGAGTGTTCCTGGATCCACGAGTGACAAGCATCGTTATCCTCGCATCCGTTGTGCTCGATATCACGCTAAAATTGACGTAGACACTGAACAGCCACAACACTACACTTCGCCATGTTAGATCACAACAACGCGCCACGGGGTTCACCGCACCCGCTTCAAGGATTTCCCCGGGAAATTCAAATCGTTTATAAAATCCTGCGTCTGTTGCATTTGTCAATTTTCACGGTAAACGGGACTCTCTTAATCACACCTATGTCCTCTATACTAATCTCTATAACTTCTTATTCGAATACCAAGTTATTCATTGCGATTTGCTAGTGATCATTCACAGTGTAATGAAAAAACGAGGATATAATTATCTTTCAACCGATCAATAGACGTCACCAGACGACGGCTAATCAAGATCAACATTCCTTCCTTCATATTTTTGATCGTGGTTCGTTCAATGATCCTGGGGTCTTCTTAAACACGTCAACGATCAGTGAATTATTCAGTACACTGTAATTGTAAATGGCTTTACTTTCATTTCAAAGATGTACATGTGGCACGTGATGGTTTCCACTGTTGTCATCGTCAACCATTCATTAGAAGCGATGAAAGGCTTTTGTTATTTTTACTCTCTTCCTTAGATATAAAATATTAGTTTTGTAGGATACAGATGAAAGTGTAAGAATTCTGTTTACATTAATTACAGAATGCGTTGTCGACACCAGACAAGGTGTCAAAATTATACACCACAAATATTAAGATAACTGGATATATTGAATATCGTGAATTTATTCTTGGCTAATGGATTCTTTGTCAGTATAATCGTGTAATTTTCTCTTTTTTAAGAACCTCACATATAGTGATTTTGTGTAGGGATCACTGATCTTATGTTATGTTTATGGCAAATAATCTGAGAATATTTTTACCAATAGGCAATGTCATTTTGCTGCCACCAAATTAATGATCAAATATCAATTTTTCTACGTTTTTGACTCAATTTAATGACTTATTATTTTTTGATTTTAGTGAATGTTTTTAATTTCTGTGATTGACAACACAAATGATATATTTATTTCATCTATCTGTTTCTTTACTTCATTATACAGCGAGCATTGGAATGGATGAATTAGTAATATTCGTAGAGGTAATGAGTAAATGCTGATGACTTTAAATACACAAATAGGTTTATTACATATAATTGTTATTTGGAATAAGTATTATACAGTTAAATTACTATGACTTATGCTACTGCCGTCCCACTGTCACAACCATACCAAAGGACATAATGGGAAAAAAGTTGCTTTGTGTTATTAATAGTGACAAGCAAAATCATATTGATAAATCTGTACAATGATATAACAGAGCAGATTATAAACAGAAAAGAAGAGAAAGTCATTCTTTACAATAATCAGGAAGTTCAATGCGTGAAAAACCCAGTGGCAGAGGATAAACAAAGGCAAGGAAGATGTCAGGAAAAGTACTATAACTGTGGATAGTAGTCCGAATGGTGAGATCCTAGAAGTGTAAAAAATTAGCAACACTGTACAAGTTGCTAAAAAGGAGCACATGAAAAGGTATTGGAATGCAGAAAACTTACTGCATCAAAAAGCTTAATATGTACAAAGTATTCTTCTGTAATGCAAAAACACAGTTGTAATACTAAATTTAATTTCTTGACCCAGATAGTTCATCCCGCATTGTACAAGTGGTTAAACAACCGATCGCAATCGTACGCAACCGGTATTTCTATAAAATTGTTCACCCCTAAAACTTTTTTGGTAATCGACCATTTTACGCACTATGTTTCCATCCCCGAACCTCGAAGTCCTAGAAACGTCTGTTAGAATCAGTCAATGATCGATACTGAACTCTTGGTCGATCAAGTAATTCAAATAGGATATCAGCCTTTGGCTAGTATGATACGCCTCTGTTTCAGAACATGGTTCTAGGTTATTCGGCTGTCCCTTGTGATGAAAATTTTTGCAATCTTCTTCTTCGGAGCATCTCCTGTTCATCTCTAGTTTCATTATCTGCTCTAGATGTCGAGGGTGTAGGCTCATTGCTACTGCTTGCTGGAGATTCTCCTGCACTCGTAGATGCTGTTTCTTTAATTACTGATAGATCTGGTACTTTCGTTTGGGACGTTTCCGCTGTGCTCGTTGTTGTTGGGATTGAGGTTGGTACAGGAATGCTAGAACACAAGTGAAAATAATTACATACTAGAGATATGATCTAAAAATAAATATTACTATTTTAATACTTACTTCGCTGTTGCTGCTGCTGTTTGATACTGGTTCATCATTGCGTTTGCAGCATCCAACAAGAGCTGTACTCTTTGGAGTGTTTCGATTCTAGCCTCTACAGCCTGTCGCATGTTACCCTCCATAGCTCGAAGTTCCTCCTCGCTTAAGGTTGTTAAATTTGGAGGTGGTGTGGGCACTGGCGGTAGTGGAACCATTGGTGGGAATGGTGGTGCAAATAAAGGAACTCCACCAGGTGTTAAAGGTTGAAAAGGTGGAAGAGGAACATTTGGAGCATTATTTTGTCCTTGTGGTTGCTGTGCTGCTCCAGGTGCTTGCCAGTTAGCCCAGAATGATGGAATTTGGAAGCCCTGACCTATAACAATTTGAATATACTTCAATACTACTCTAAATATCCTGATATTACTGAATCAGCATATAGTCATCATCAATACCATGTTGATTGGCTCCTGGGGCTTGTGCAGGTTGCGGTGCTGGTTGACCTGCTTCTGGCTGATTCTGTGGTCTAGTTCCAGGGGTATTCGTAGTTGGTCTTAAGATGTTTAGCCGACAAGTTGGACACGTTTGTTGACGTTGGAACCATGAACGTAGACATGCTGTATGGAAAATGTGGTTGCAGGGTAATTTTTTGCTCGCAGAAACCATTTCTTCTCTGTAACATTATTTAAGGGCAAGAAGTGTATTTATTTATGTATGTATTTAGTGTATGAATGAACGTACCTCTGAATAAACATATCTTACCGGCAAATGATGCAAACGTTATCAGCCGCAGCCAATTCTTCGGGAGTGGCATCAGGGTAAAGTGTATTCATATTTCTGATTGCTCTTCGAGACATAACAATATCATGGAATGCTTTCTTAAAGTTTCTCATCGTGTAGTACATCGGTCGGAAGGCAAATAATGGTAAAGTGTATATTCTCACCATTATCATAACAAAAGTCACATAGAGTATTACCTATAATAATATCGTATATATTGCAATGCTGATCCGCGAGTGATAATTTTTTAAAAAGGATATCAAACTGAATTAAGGATATCAAACCTTTAAAAGTCCAATGATTAGTTCAGTATACAACAGAAATACAGGTTTATTATCCCAAGGATTTTCGCTTTGTAAGTCAATAGTGTGCAACACATATTTGATGGTAATGTTCAAAACAACTGTCAATAGTATAGCATATTCAAAACCAAAGACAAGTTGTACCGAAGCACCTTTTGCAAGAGTAGAATCATATGCATATTGAATCATAGTTAAGTTAGCTCCAAAAAGAAGCGACAGCAAGCTGCCAACTCTGAGGTGGAACAACCACGTTATTACAGGACTTCTTTCCATCTGTAACCAAGATCATTGTAAGCCTGGATTCATCAGCAAAATAATTTTGCTCTTTGCTCTAAAGTACTCACATAATCAACTCTGTCTTCTGCCAACCAGTGAAAAGATTTGAGAAAAAGTAAAAGCGTAAATAGAGCTATGAACTTGGGACTAAAATCATCTCGAAACACAGTAAAAGCCAGACATGTCTCGGTAACAGCATACCATGCTTTCTCGACCAAATGCTGAAAAACAATCAGCTTCGTTATAAAAACCCTATACATTGTACCACAATACTTTAATAAATTGACAACATACTTCAAGCTCAGCAGCCCGTAGATTACCAAAGAATATTTTTCTAAGGAAAGTATTTATCATAAATACAAGGATTAGACCTTGTATATAGATTACCTGAAAGAAAAACTATAAGTATTCCACACTTGGTATCTCTAACCAGCAGCCAAACACCAATCTGTGATATTTCTAATCATGCTCTAATCCACATACTCTATTATTTAACTCAAGTTTTGAACTCATCTGTAAAAATAACTTAAAATACTTACAGCCATACTGGGATTAGATTTGGTTATGTATACGACTGATGGATAGAATTGTTTCTTTTGATAATATGCATTCCCAATAACAGCGCATGTAAGTGCGATACTAATGAGGGTTATTCCAGCAGCCCTCATCTTGGCAAATGGTTTCAGAAAATCCAGCCCAAGGGCCAGCACAATACGCCTACTTTTCCAAACACTTATCCCACCGAAATTTTACGTTTTGACAACTGTAAATGCAGAACGGCGCTACTGAGCCACGGTCCTTTTGCAAAGCTGTCCAAACTTAACAATACTACGTGTCCCTCAAGCCATGCCGCGATATCACGTAATTACGCAATTAACGTAGTCACGACGATCCTTCCAATCAGACCAGTTAGCTTTTAACATTGTTAAGTCTTTCCAAATTATATGTTCCCTAAGAAAGTTCCAGTCAGTGATTCGTTCAATAACAGCCACGTGTCTCATACAGATTCTCTCTCAGAACAAAGTGCAACAATTGCTTTCGAATTAGATGCCGAAGGACAGACGGTGCAACGTGATTGGCTGATACAAGTTGGTTATTGTTGACGACATAATCCTGTGCAAAATTTTAAACTATTAAGTATCTTGTGACAAAATTTACAATATAAATATTTGATTAATAATTGTATAAAAGAATTAATGACTGAATAGAATCGTTACTCCATAGTGATAAACTCATCAGTCTGAATATTAATATAAATTGCAGTATATTTAGTCCTCCTGATATCGCATTTCTCAGGCGCCTTTATCTGCTATCATTTGTTTTACCATCTGACGCTGGTGGCAAATTAAGAACTGTTTAAGGCGAAATAATAAGCTGAACTTATTGCCTTAAGTACAAGGCTGTTCTTCGTTTATTTTACTGATCTTTGTCATTGGTATAAATAGTAATTATCCGGAAGAAAAATGGGCAACAGTATGGAACAAAGAATAATTCCTTCAGAGCATCAATCATGCAGACATAGAATGATCTGCATCAAGCAATGGAATATTGATTATTTCTTCAAATTAATAGGTATACATTACAATTAGAATTAGCAGTATTTTCTCCATTGAATATAACATATATTTCTTCTATACATAGACCAGGACTTAGAGGATTTCTTTGTAACGGATCCTTGCTGCAAGCTGGCTGACAATTACCTCATCGCCATGGTCTTCACGTATTTTCTAAGAGCGTCCCTTTACCCGGAGGAGTATACGACGTTCAATTTTTTTGTAGCCTTGTAATACGATCTTGGATCTTCGATGGATGATCGATTGATTTCTGCGAGCAGCATTATCTGCTAATATACGGGACATTCTGATGCACATATTTTTATCTTTATTCATCCAGATACCTGGCACATGATATGGAGGAAGACGAGGACAATGTTAAGCCTGAATTGCAGGCGTGGGCAAGGGCTGCCCACTATCAGAATATAAGTTTGAATAGCCTTCTACAGCACAGAGATAATTTGTTCCGTAGAATGGAGCATCGGGGTGCTGTTTCTCGTTTGTGCTGCGATATTGTAATGCGTTCTTTAAAGCCAGAGCACAAAGTCTGGCATCGTCAAAGGCACAGCAATCATTCTGGAGCTGCCAGCGATTTTAATAGGTACATATATAAGTTTTTGTGGAACCAAGACAAATAAATCTTTAATTATTAAAGGTAATTTGTTATAACCCGTGAATACGAGAACGCGCCTACGTTCTATATTGGCGAACATACATCTAACAACGTGCTAATTCTGGGTCAAGGACCCTTGGTCTATTAGGCCTGGCTAGTATTATAATGTTACCTTTGCCGTTGTAGAAAACGGGACACGTGTCCAAAGTGTACACGGAATCGATTTTCGCAGTCCTCCACGTCGTCTTCGGAGTGTAGTCCTGAAGCCGTACATATAATGAAGCCAAGAAGAACGATGTACGTAGAAACGATAAATGAAGGTAATCAATTCTACCAATGAGAAGCATTGATAAAAATTCTTTCTCTAGACTGAACAACGGTGCCGTAAAGAAAATCAGGACTGAGTCGTATGATTCTATGCGCAAGAAAATGGGAAAAGTGAAAATAAGCTTCACGGTCAAAGAAATCCAAGAGGCTTCGCGGGGCGAAAGTCATTAAAAATAAAATAACGGTAGTCTAATTATTACATACAGAATAAGGGCAGAGAGAGAGTCTGGTCTAATCGTTTAATTATTCATAATTTAAGAACCAAAGTTCCTTACATGAAAAATCCTTCGTCTTATTTCGACTTTGTTGACGTATCGTTAATTAAGGAGAAGTAGATTTTATACGCCGACGTAATATTATAAAGATATATTAAATCATTATCGCAATAGTACAAATACAATGTTCAGTACAATGATTGACAGTACAGAAATAAGTGAGATTTAAAATATTATGGCTGTGTGTCATTACCCCTTTATCTATCTCCTCCATTTATAAATTCATGCAAATATCTCTGTCGCCTTTCTCTATTATTACTAATTTGTCATCGTAGTCAGTCATCAAGTAGTCATAGTTCCAAATTCTATGTCACGTGTCTACTTAGCTGTCTAGTCTTAAGAAGAGTTCTAGGACTCTGCCGTTTGGGTGTACTCAACGGTGCCACAGCCTTCATCGGTGTCCTTCTAGAATCGACTGCTGGTCTCCTGGCCAATGACCTTGAGCTCTTGGGTGTTTTCAAGGTTAAAGGTCTCTTTATGTGTGGAGTCTTACACGTCGCACTAGAGTCAGGTTTGTAAATATTAATATTGGATTCTTGCAGCATCCCATTAACCGATACCTTTTCACCAGACGGTGGAGACCTTCTTGGTCTGTTCTCTTTGTGACTAGCGATATTATCAAATGGTTCCTCCTTGACCTGACCTTGATCTAAGATTAGATTATTTTTAGCCAATCCTAGAGAGTGATTCTCGAATTTTTGGGAGTTTCGACGATTCAAACGTTTCTCTGAATTCGATCGTGGATTCTGTTGCGGGACTATGGTCAATTCCATCTTAATGAGTGGGGACGGGCCTGGTGAATGGACTAATCTTAGTTTTGCATTATTGTTTTTTGGACTTTTACTACTGTGCTTTCTACGTGGTACCGCTGTTCTCTTGGGAACAGGTGAAGAGTCTAGGTCAAGGCTTTTGAATTCTCTCATCCTTGATAGCTTTACTGGCTGTCTTCTGTGTGGATTTGGTTGAGCATGTTTTTTCTCTGCAGCAGAATCGTATCTGCCTGAAGCCTTTGCTGTGGTTTCATCGAATAATTTAGCTTTTGCCAAGACCATACCAGCGTTTTGAGTACGGAGCTTTGCTACTGATGCTCGACCAGTTTGCTGTGTAGGTGTTTGGAAACGGCAGTCAGACTTGAAATAACCGTCAGCCTCTTTCCACGTTATTGTTTTCTCTTTACTACTATCTGATACGGTTTTAACAGGAACGTTATTATTCACGGCGATATTCTGTTGGCTATTAGTCTTTTTCAGTTCTCTCACCTTTCTGTTAAAGTATTGAGAATTATCTATGAAATCTCCACCATGAAACGAGGAAGCTCGGCGTACGTTTCGCGACATGTTTGAATCTCTCATGTCGAAGAGGTCATTGTCGACGGCATTTCCATCGTCGTCGCTCAACGAGTCTCTTGTGTGCTCGGCAGTGTGTGATATTAAAGTATGAAGCTGTTCTTGGAGATAATTTAATCTGGCGTTAGTCTCGTCACTGCAAATTGGATCGGCTTCTGATGTTATATAGGACTCTGACGAAGTCGAACTAGGACGCGTGGAAATTGCCTTAGGGCGACTCCGTATGGGTTTTGTATATAAATTATTTAAATGTGGAGATGTCTGCACTAGGTGCTGGAGATCAGATCTGTTGGGTATATGCCAGGAAGCATTGCGACTGAGATGTTTACTGAAACATTATTAAAATCGATGTACAAATTTAATTGAATCGTTAATTAATTTTCATATATTATGATTGATTGGATATAGAAATATTCTGTAATTACCTGCTAGGTTTCTCCTGGGATCTTCTTCTTAGATTCCCTATCTTTCTAGCACTAGGTGATCTTATTACCTTGTGCTCGCTGGACCGTCTGATCTTCAGTTCCTTGCCAAGTCTCTTGGCTAAATGATCAGCAGTAACAGTATTTTCTATGCTAGCCTCTTCTAATGTTTTCTCATATTCACTTTGCACTTTGCTGGCAGAACAGTCAGCCAGATTATCAGCAACATCGCCCGAAATGCATCCAAATTCTTGAGAAATTCTAGTTTCAATGGCGGATACTCTACTCTTAATTTCCTCATATTCACTTTTGGGTATTCGGACATACTCTTCGCCGAGATCATTCGTCGTATGTAACTGACTTTTTCGTTTTGACGGCTGATAATCACCAGGTAATTTGGTCACGTAAAACATCTCCATGGACCTCCTGGATCCAGTGCGCATACACTTAATTCTATTCTTCAGATCTGATTTATTTATTTCCTGCAAGACCTGCTCGCCGCCGTCATCGGATAAGTTGACGTTGGCATCCATGAAGACTTGATCGTAATCCTTCTGATTAACAGCATCCGCCTCTTCGTTTTCCTTCGTCGGCGACATCAACTGCAATAGCCCGTCGCTCTGTGTCTTACGCTTTTTTGTAGAGCTGGAACCGCTGCTTGCTGAACTCCAACGTCTTTCAAGACGAGGACTACTACATGATTCTTTGCAAGACTGTGTATCCACATCCGCCACCTTCTACGGGTAGAAATGAGATTCGGTACATCTTAAACATCTTGACTGTAAAAATTTATTATTTTTATGGAAAAGAAACAAAGTTCTACCTTATTTCTAGAGACCAGACGATCTAAGCTCAGTCTAAGCCTTTTTGACTTGTCCAATTTCTCTCCAACAGTTCTGATATAATTAATGGTAACTTATTAATTGTTTTTGATTGAAGTAAACTACAAATACAAGATCTAGTATACATTGACCTAATACTCACGTTTCTGAATGAATCTTGTGCGACAAGTACTTGCGAACTTTCGATTTCTGTAACGGGCTTCTGTCCTTCATTGGGCTGTGAGAATATTGATTGTATATATTAATTATTTTTATGACATGACCAAGCATGTAAGACAATGGTCGGCAATTTTAAAACGAAGTGGTTTCTTCTTTTTTATAGTGAAAAACTCCTAATAACATGCCAATAGTGTCAGTGTAGTTGATAAAAGGTTGTTAATTCATGTTTGTCGACCATTGGTGTACAATAATATATAACGGGCATATAAAAGCATGCACTATGTACATACTTCGGATTGCTAGAAACTGGAGAAGCAAACAAATGACGAGGTCGGAGGCAAGTATTGTCAGGCATTACTTCCAATAAAACTCGCCTGCAAGCGATAACAAAATTAAAAAAAAAATGTCATTCCAAATGCAGCATTAAATAGAACGTAACTGCGACTAAGAAAACAACGATAACTGAAATCAATTTTGAAAATTTTCTAAATAAATCACGCTCGAGCACATGCAAAAAACAAAAAACAAAAATTTTCTGCTCTCTAGCAACTCTATTATATGCAATATACTTAGTAATAAATTCGTACATTTTCTTTATACTTAGTGGAGCTGTTGTTTCCATCACTTTGCGCTTTTTACCAACTTTAATGGATGGCGTATGAGCCGGATTAGGTTCCGGTACCGAATTAGTATTTCCTGTTCTTGAATCAACTGGGGAACCACTCTTGCCGACTATTTTCTTCAGACCATTAATCATCCCTTTGATGAAAATCATTGTGATTAAATAATTCGCGTGTTTTAACATATATAAAATTATTTTACTTTGGGTAAATAAAGTTATTGTGTTATTTTATTCGAACTAATATCAATAAACTATAAAAATTAGAAATAGTTATGATTAAAGATATTAGTTTATTTATACATGTTAACACTATGGAATTTATAATTAGTGATGATTTTTTATAAACATGCAGAATATAATGTATGAATGTTTCAATCATAGTTACTGTATTAGATAGAGAACCATTGTGTTAACATCTATATATCGATAAAGATTAGTATTCAGATCGACAGACATACTTAGATTGAGGTTCGAGGCACTTAGATGTGGCTTACGTGTAAGGCTGCCACTGCGATGTTTTTTCTTTTTATTTATTTTAGAATGTAGTGTAGGATCAGATCGATCTAGTTCAGCTTCAATACTGCCAATTACCTCTCCGGTGAGAACTTCTGTAACGTGCTCTGATAAAACTCCAATACATTCAGCTTTATCAATTAAAATCTAGAACAATATCTATATTAAATATTAACAGAAGACGCTTTCATACAGTGCTTAAATTAGCATTAGTACCTTTACTATGACCAAATGTATTTCGAGTCTGGCTTGAACAGCAGCCATAGTTGGCTCTTGTAAAGGCATAATGTTCGGTCCAATAACTTTAGCTAGATTGTCAATACCCATTTTATTTTGTTTTTCAAAAGTGGATACTTTTTTCAAGAAATCCATAAAGAATGCCAGTGTATTTAAATGATGCGGTGGTAACAATATACATGCCAATAGCAAAGCTTCTATACGATTAGTCTTCAGCATTGCACACCGTACAAATAAATCATGATAACAATATGGTATCAAGGGTTCAGGAAGGTCCCGAAAGAATGTTTTCAAGGCATTAGCAACGTCGACAGCTTGATGTTTCTCCAGCAAAGTGCCACCATTATCAACCCGAGCGATCAGTTCCTTTTGTCGAATCTGTGAGCCAGCTTTTCGGAACAATCCTTCCTGATTGAGGAATTGCTCCAAGTATGCAATTGCTTGGCTAACAAATGAAGGAACATGTACAATAGCACCAGAGGACAGATTTACCACGTCCAGTGGTAGGTAAGACAAATGCGTCTTGAATACTTTTCTCAAAGCATTTCCAGATCTCTCAGGCTTTTCAGTTTTGATAGCATTCTTCTTGAAACGGTATTTAACCCCAAGACCCCTGAGGTCGCCTGCTATAAGTTCATAGACTTTTTCTTTATGCATCACATCGTACACCAACATTTTTAAAACTATCTGCCCCACAGTATCAAGAGCCACATTCGTAGTTTTAGCCTTCCATACATAAATCAAAAGAAATCACAAAAATAATCGTACATACAGAATATAAGAAAGCGAGTGCAAACAAATACAAACATCTCTGACTTTAACCGCCATTCGGCCATACCAACTTGGCCAACGAAATTCTACCTACATTAGATCGTTGAGTGTAGTAGATCACGTATTTGTAATTCATTAGAATTTAAAATACAATGCATTATGAGGAGGTGTGATTTCAATTTTCTGATTATTAAAGGAGCTCTGAATCTTAGCTATTTCCATATTTTTTGAATTTTAAGTATTCTTCTTTATCTGGGGATTTCAGGCTTCCACTGGCTTAGGGTGCGTTCCACTTAACGCTCGCAACGATCGCAACACCCCCTGTCTCGTTCCACTTAAGGCCGCGGTCGCTGTGAGCAGCCCGTGAAACGTCATCGATGACGTCATCATTGGCGACCACGATGCGATCGCTGCGCCCACAGAGATGAATAGGGAGATGCACAACGCTCCGGTTTTAGGCGATACCAAAAGCATGGCGCTAAATCGTAGCGGCGAGTCCGGGAGTAGGATTTCGTGATCATCGCCTCTGTCGATGTTACAGATTTCTCGTAGCCGCGCGGTCATGACCATCGTTCCAGCCGATATTGCAGTCAGCGAAAATGAATGGAATGCTCGATGGTGGGAAAAATGATGCCGCCCCTCACAAACCGTTCTTGACAAACAGGCGGGGCAGCAAGGTCTTCTGTCCAACCGAACCCTAAACATTTGTATGGACGTAATGCGCAAACAAATGTGTATATTCAAATAAATTTCAAAGTTATAAAAAATGCATAGAAATATTGGTTT